AGAATCACTGCTGAGTGATGATGATGCTTCCTTCTGAGGAATGGGGACAGAGATGGAGAAATGGAAAAACAAATATGCACTTCAATCCCTGCCATCTGTATTCAGGAAAAAATATATTTAAATGACACCAAGCACCGCATAGGTAGTTATGTATAATGATGTTTATGAAACTGCATAATTATCTTCTATAACCCAAGAAGGAAGAAAAACCTCTTAAAAATTTGAACATGAATCACAATTTTGAAATATAGTTTCCCATTAACTTTTCTATGTTTATATCTTACTCATTTTTTTTTCTTTTAGGATAAATCTGAGGAGGATAAGGGAAATGTTTATAAAACTTTCCAGGCTAAGGCACATTACATGGTCTAGGAATAATTTCTTTTAAAAAAAGTTTATTTTATTTTCAGTCAGTCTGAAGAAAAGGAAACTAGAAAAAAAAAAAAAGCCTCTGCTAGGCACTAATGGCTCACGCCTATAATCCTAGCAACTTGGGAGGCAGTGATCACAAGGATCATGGTTCGAAGCCAGCCTCAGCAAATAGTTTGCAAGACCCTAACTGGAAAATTCTGAACATAATAAAGGGCTGGCAAAGTGACTCAAGTGGTAGAGCACTTCCCTAGCAAGCGTGAGGCCCTGAGTTCAAACCCCAGTACTGCACCCTCCAAAAAGCTCATCCAATATTATCATCTACCTTGATTCAGATGGAAGCAGGAAGATAAGCTAAAGACAACAGCTTTTTAATGCTTGTCCAAGAGACTGAACAAGGTAAAATTCATAACTTGAGAAGATATAAATTCAAAATCAAGACAGAAACAAATTCTGACTTGGCCCTAGCCAGGAACACAATCTTCACAGAGTGTGAAAACAACATCTGCGATTTTTGGTTATTACAATCAACAGGACACAGTTTGTATACAGCGAGTCCTTCTAAAAACCTGAGGCTTCTTTCTGTCTCCTCGAGGGACACATGCAACCTTCCTTAGAAATTCCAGAAAGAATCCCAGCATCCAAGACAATCCTGTCCCTTCCTCCAACTGGGGCCATAAAAGGCCTGTCCATTTTGAAGTTGAGAATCAGTAATGAATACATCTTACAGGATGAAGTGGCTTTATTTCAAAAGCAGGTGCTTTTCTGTGTGATGACTAAACCACACACTTTAGATTGTGATTTTGGAATTATTTTATCAGAAAAATCTGCTCCACTGGGATGCTATACTGAGAAGGAATTCAAGGCCCATCTGCCTCCTCAAAGATGCTGTAGTTTATCATCCTTTAATAAACTGTTCTTGTCATGTTGAAACAACAGCCCCTTCTATTTTGGGAAACTCAAAAGGCTGCCTGCCATTTCCGTGCTGTGCATTCCCCAAAAGGAATGAGGGAAGAACCATTACCTAAAGGCACCCTTGAGTCCAAGTGTCTCAATCGCCATTAGTACATGGTCTGCAGGGCCTACAATAACCGTGAAATAGAAAAGTCACTGCCTAGCTTCCCAGCTGAGGAAACTGAAGTCCACACAGGTTAAACAACAGATCCACTGGCCTATGGCTCAGAAGTAGGAAAACTGAAATTAAAACCCCGGCCCTTTGGACACTAAAGACTTGTTCCTTAATGCTTCCTTGCTTACTTGGGTGAGATGAAACGAGAAATTCAATCTTCAAAGAGATCCAAAAGATTATCCAAACCCCAAATGCTCCTTCTGGTTCAGTAAGGGTTTAATAGGAAAAAGTGTTCTTCTTTTGGGAGCAGAGAGAATCGGGCACTGCTTATACCATGTAGGGCTCCTCTAACCAGCCACTTGGTGTACTAAGCTAACTTGCAGGGTTTCTGCAAGATGGCCTCTAGGTGGCGCAATGAGCATGTGATTCCCTGTTCTGAGGCTTGTCTGTTTCTGCCTGGCTGAGTGTTCAAAAGTGAAAACATGACCTTGTCAAAGTTGTTGGCTCCCTGCTGACACAGAAATCATTACTCAACAGTATTTCCAGCTTCTCAACTCTCTGATGCAAGACTGTGGCCTTGGAGAAGCTGCAGGAAAAGTTCTAAAACTGAAAACTAAAAAAGAACCATGGAAAAAAATAAAGGAAACCAATGCTCCTTTTTGGTTGTTCTTTGTTTGAGGTCTTTGTTTTTTAAAAAAAATAACTTTTCAAGTCCTTGGGGAAGGGACTTCATAAATCATGAAGGTTTTGAAATCACATCAAGTGGACTTTTTGTTAAAAAAAAAAAACTACATTATTCTTCATAAAGTACTCATGGAGCACAGCACTCACAAGACAGAAAACAAAGATGCAAACATTCCTATTCCCTAAAACTAAATTGTGGAAGGAATTAAGAGCAATGTTAAGACAGATGGAACTACACTGAGAAAAATCATCCACATGTTAGCTCAGAATATCAGCTGGCTATTTTACATAAGAACAGAGCCTGGAAGTAAAAAGGGAGATGCTTCATATTTTCCATCCCCTTCCCACATAACCTTCAGAGAAGGTCAGGGCCTGGAATAATCCCAGTCTTACTCAGAGTTCACCTCCCAGTTTCACTCTCCCTTCTGCCTCTCTACACTGTGTGTTCTGAGATCCAACTGTCCCCACTGAAAAACACCAAGCCCTGAGTAGAGATACAAGAATCCTGGGAGTAGACATGGCAAAGGCTGGCGCTTTCTATATATTTCAAGGGATTCCAAGTGGCAGCAAAAGCAGGTAGATGGAATTGCAGTAGCACATGGGCACCTGAGAGTTACTCTCTGCACCAGGATAGGTTGGTAAAATCAACTAAGAGCGTTTTTGACAAAGGCGTTCCTTCTTCTCCCTTGGCAATTTCTTTTTTATTTTTTAAAAATTTTTATTGTTTCATTATTCATATGTGCATACAATGTTTGGGTCATTTCTCCCCCCTGCCCCCTCCCTTACCACCCACTCCGCCCCCTCCTTCTCCTCCTGACCCCCTCGATACCCAGCAGAAACTATTTTGCCCTTATCTCTAATTTTGTTGAAGAGATAGTATAAGCAATAATAGGAAGGACCAAGGGGTTTTGCTAGTTGAGATAAGGATAGCTATACAGAGAGTTGACTCACATTGATTTCCTGTGTATGTGTGTTACCTTCTAGGTTAATTCTTTTTGATCTAACCTTTTCTCTAGTTCCTGGTCCCCTTCTCCTATTGGCCTCAGTTGCTTTTAAGGTATCTGCTTTAGTTTTTCTGCATTGAGGGCAACAGATGCTAGCTAATTTTTTAGGTGTCTTACCTATCCTCACCCCTCCCTTGTGTGCTCTCGCTTTATGACTTGAGGGTAAGAGGGAGACTGGATGATTCTGATTCCCATGTGATTTGAATATGCCTTGCTCAGAACACAGAAGTAAACTTTAGAAGGAATTGGAGGTAAAGCAGAAGACAAGTCCTTCCTTTCCTGGGCTGTATCTCTGGGAAAGGGCTCTCCAGGCACACTGATGAGTGAGAACAGGGCCTTGATCATAGTCACACACGAAGTACAGGAAACTCTCACCTTGCCCATCACTCTTGACACTTTTTGCTAAAGTTTTTAAAATTCAACTCAACTAAAAGATTGGAATATAAAGGCCAAAATATGAGCTATAGTGGGATAAAAATGGTTTTGAAATATCTTTGTAAATCAAGCTGAACGCACCGTCAATAAGTATTCTTATTTGGAAAGATATGTTGAGACTAACATTGTAAAATCAGTAACTCACATTTTCTTAAAGAGATACTATTAAAGAGGATTTTAAAAATGGTTAGTTTGATCCATTGCTAGTTAAAGTGGAAATCAGAAAGCAATTTAGCAATATCAAAAGCCTTGAAAATACATAACAGAAATTATAGTCCCACAAATTTATCTAAATAATGTGGTCATGGATGTGCATGGATACGCTACAACGATGTTAATTATAGACTTATTGGTAGTTTCCAACACTGAGTCATTCAGGAAAAGGGCTTTGTTAAACTGTAGTACATCCAAATAATGAAAAACTCTCAGCTGTGAAAACAACACCTATTAACTGATATGGAAACACTTTTATGGAAAATTTTCAAAGACAATGAGAATTTCAAAGAAAATTCCCGTGAAAGACAAGGGTGTCCAAATAACACATAAAGCACCATACCACTTGTCAAATTAGATAGAAATGTAAATATTTACATAGAGAGATATATACATATAGTGTACAAATTAACATATATTAATTTGAGCATCTCTGTGTGTGTGTATATTTATATACACACACATATATACAGTTTATATTTTTCCAAGAAAGAATATTTTAAATTAAAAAAATAATGCATGGTAATTTCTAATCACCAGGCCAAAAATCACTAGGCCAAAACACCACTCATGTCATTTTTGATGTAGATTAAATGAAAACTCAATTTTACACCTGCAGAATTTGAGGTTCTCTGAGGGTCCCCATGAAGCTGATGGTGTAAGGGTAAGAATAGAATCCAATTAGGAACAACAATAGGTTATATTTGGGACACCTTGTGTTCTGATTTGCAAACTGGAAAAAAAATATCTAAGACACAGTCATTAGCATCTGTAGTAAGATGATGCTCTTAGGAAAATATAAATTACAGAAATCTCATCATGATTAAATTCCAGGATACTTTCAGTTTGCTTTTGATGTGAAGTTGATGTATGTAAGTAATCTAATCAAGAACCAAATAACAAGAAACATCCCAGAGTTGTCATCATCCATTCAACTCAAACAGAATCCCAAGCATCTTGTGAAGTAGATTTAACGAAGTCTAGATGCATTCTCAGCTAACTACTCTGGGTTACACTTAATCAGAACTGAATAAACAAATGCAGTATTAGTCACACTTGTGCAAGTTATTCCATCCCACTGAAGCCAGAAGTCATTTTCATGTGATCCTGTTTAAACCAGCTAAACATCTGGAAATGTGGAAACTATTCTGTAAAGCACAAGAGGGCCACACACTAGATGCGGCTGAGGTCAGCCCGGGGAGGTTGGATGGAGACAGCTTACTTACAATGAAGCCAAGTTTTTTATAATCCCGTGTGTACATGGACTTGCGTTTCTCCACGCTGCCGCTGCTATTATTAGGTTCAGACTCCGCATCAAAAGCAATTCTTCGAAGTTCAAATATGATATCTCTTTGAGCCTGGAGGAAAAGAAAGGGAGGGAGAAAAAACTGGTTCCATTGTGTGAGGTGACACAGACTCCCTTTTTCCCCAGGGTCTAAATGAATCACTGCATTCAGGCAAAAGAAAAACAGATAAAAGACAAGCAATGTTCTAAGTGTGGACTTTGCAGACTTCTCTTCCTCCTGCCTCTCTCCCTGCTGCTTAGGTTTGGCGCTATTCCACAATTACCCTTGCAGCCAAGTCACTTGGAATGCTGACATCAATTGCTGAGGAAAGTCCTACATGACAGCCCCAAATATGACAGTAGGATTGTGACTGGAGGAGGCTGAGTTAATAGGCCTGGGAGTGGTGTACTGCCTGAAACAAAGCAAGACGCACATAAGGTTGGTGGGCAGTATACGAGTTGAAAGTGATCCGTTACTCACTAAGGAGTGACTTCATGGAAACAAACACAAGATCAAAATAAAAGAAAGAGCCAAAAGGCAGGGACAATCCAAGTGTCCATCCATGGGTGAAAGGATAAACGTGGTCTAGACATCCATTGGGATTTTATTCAGCCTTCAAAAGGAACAGATTTCTGACACGTTACAACAAGGATGAACCTTACAAGACATTATGCTGAGTGAAATAAGCCAAGCACAAAATGCTAAACATTGTCTTATTCCTCTTAATGAGCTTCCTAGTGTAGCTAAACTCACAGAAAAAGACAGCAGAATATTGACTGCCAGGGCAGAGGACAAGGGCAAATGGGGAGTTATTGTGTTAACAGGCACAGGAATTTATTTATTTATTTATTTTTACATTTTATTTTTATTTATTTTTTTTATTCATATGTGCATACAATGTTTGGGTCATTTCTCCCCCCTTCCCCCAGCCCTTCCTTTACCCCCCCCACACCTTCGATACCCGGAAGAAACTATTTTGCCCTTATCTCTAATTTTGTTAAAGACAGAGTATAAGCAATAATAGGAAGGAACAAGGGTTTTTGCTAGTTGAGATAAGGATAGCTATACAGGGAGTTGACTCACATTAATTTCCTGTGCATGTGTGTTACCTTCTAGGTTAATTCTTTTTGATCTACCCTTTTCTCTAGTTCCTGGTCCCCTTCTCCTATTGGCCTCAGTTGCTTTAAGGTATCTGCTTTAGTTTCTTTGCGTTGAGGGCAACAAATGCTATCTAGTTTTTTATGTGTCTTACCTATCCTCACTCCTCCCTTGTGTGCTCTCGCTTTCTCATGTGATCAAAGTTCAATCCCCTTGTTGTGTTTGCCCTTGATCTAATGTCCGCATATGAGGGAGAACATATGATTTTTGGTCTTTTGGGCCAGGCTAACGTCACTCAGAATGATGTTCTTGAATTCTGTCCATTTACCAGCAAATAATAACATTTCATTCTTCTTCATGGCTGCATAAAATTCCATTGTGTATAGATACCACATTTTCTTAATCCATTCGTCAGTGGTGGGGCATCTTGGCTGTTTCCATAACTTGGCTATTGTGAATAGTGCCACAATAAACATGGGTGTGCAGGCAGGCACAGGAATTTAGCTTTGCAAGATGAAGACTTCTGGAGATGGATGGAAATGTTTCCACAACAACATGAGTGCATTTAATGCTGTGAACTGTACACTTTCAAATAGTTAACATGGTACATTTTAAACAAGAGGAAGAGTTTACAAACGATGAGGGTTGCACCATCTTAATAAGCATTGCTCTCCTTCGCTAGAAGTAGTAAGATGACGGTCTTGTCATCCTAGGATGACCACACCTGGTTTTGCCGAAAGTGTGAAGCATGATCGCTGGCCTCTCCATGCCTCCCCCTCAGTCCTAAATGGAATGGCCTCCTGCCATGGATGGAGTGCAGCAGCAGCCGCTCACTCCGCATGGGTACTTCACATCTGCACTAGATCAGGCTCACACGCCAGTAATGAGTGTTTTCCTTTCCAAAGCTGCAGCGCGGATTAAGTTGAAAATGTGCTACAGCAAGGGCAGGGCTTCCAGCTGTTTTCTCTCCACCCTCACACAGTGAAGTTCCCCAAAAGCCTTCTGGATGGAGACAAACCTTTCATGAACAACAACCTAGCGGGGAGACCTAGCAGGGAGTCACAGTAAACCACCAACCAACAAAACTGCCGGTCCAGAAATCAGGTATTATGGGGAATCCGCCTTTGGCCCTAATAACTGGAGAATGGAAGTTACTTCCTAACTGTGGAACTGATATCACACAAAGCTCTGAACTCTAAGGCTGTTACCATTGACAGTATGAAGCCAGGAGCCAAGGCCTATGCCCACGGACTATTGGGAATATTGAGCTCTCTTAGCCAACAAAATAAGAATATGCGTGTGGTCAGGGGCCTAATGGGAGAATCCACTCATTTTATTCTCTGATTGTAGATTCACCTAAATTTTGAAACCATGCCCCATGTTCTGAGATGATAATAAAATGATTACAGGATCATCTAAAACTCATGATTTCAGGGTAGCTCAAGAAAAGACTTAATGCCACTTTTTCTCCTAAAGGGCTTTTACTTCATTCAGCAAGCACCCACCTGGTCCTGGGGGTCCATCTTGGTCATCATCCTGTCTTCCAGAAGGTTAAAGGTAAGCACTTGGAGAACGTACAGCTGGTGGGCCATCTCGTTGTTGATGGCTCGCTGCGCTCGGATGACATGCTAGGGAGACAGTTACAAATGACATTTTTAAAAATTAACAAAGAAAGAAAAGGCTGACCACAAAGTTAGCCCTTGCCATTATGCCAAGTAAAACCTCAGCAGTTTTCATTTGGAGGCACAAAGGATGGAGACTGGTAGATCCGCCCTCCAGAAGAAAAGTCAGGGCACATGTGATCTTGGAGTTATCCTTGACAACCCAGAGCCCAGGGATCCAAGAAAAGATCTACTGTGTGCAGGAGGGAGGACGAGGGACACTTTAAGGGAAGATGTGCAGGAAATGAAAGTGTCTGGAAGCAGCTCTGGATTTCTAGAGCAGAAACACTCCTTGAATGCAGCACAGGGACCCACAGTGCCTACCCATCAAAAGCAATTTTGTCATCGCCTTGCCCCAGAATGGTCTCTGCCTGGTGTCCCAACTTCCAAATGGGAAAAGCTTTAGAAGCAGTGCACAAAAGCAATGTGCTCATTCTATTTTCACTAAACTCACTATAAGAACTGTACAAACCCACTACCACCACAGTGCCATGTACAAATGCTAGTGTATTACTTGACTCATCAGTTAAGAGCTAAGTGAAAAATAAAATGCTCTTCCCCATGGAAACAGAACTGGAAGAAGAACAAACGTAAAAGGGACAGCAAGAAGTAGGATACATGGGCCACGGCTCCCACCACGGCCAGGTTTTAAACAAAAATAGAATAGCTGTGGTTCATTCAGCATTCTAGTCAGCATTCTAATATACAATATAACCTCTTTGGAGAGACCTTCACTGTACCTTAAAAATGCCAAACAACCAGCCAGTGCAGTGGTGAAACATCATTCCAATCAATTATTTCAAATGTGCTAGACCCAGGAGGGTCTTCAATCTGAAAGAGCACAATCTCTTTGCACTCTTGGCCCTTGTTGCTGCTGGACTGCTGCAAATTAACTTCTAAAGGATCCTTCAGCAAATGCCAGAGCCCCCTAGGATGGAATCATATGTCAAGACTGGAGAAATCTATGTCTTCAGGATGCTGCATGGATACCCCCCACCTGCCATGCACCTGCTCTCCACAGTCTGTATGCTCTCCATAGTCTACCTGCTTTCCACACATTGGCTGTAAGTACCATATGAAATTAGAGAAGGAGGGAATGGGGGAAGAATTCGGAATAGAAAGAGGAGGAGGGGAGGGGAATGAAATAAGAAGTTACAGAATCAAACTTACGGGAAGGGAAGAAGCTAGACAATGGGATGTGGGGAAAAATCAAACTCTATATCCTTTATTCTTCAGGATACAATGTTAATTTATAGTACCCCTATAAATTAAAAGTATATGGCTATCTGTTTTATTAATAATCCCGAAACTACCTGCCCTCATAGTCGTTGCCAACCTGAAACTTTCAGCCATCAAAGTCTCACAAAAGAAATGCATTGAAACAAAATTGATCATTTTTGTTGTTTTTATCTTTGTTTATTTGTAGTATTGGGGTTTGAATGCAGGGTTTTGTACATCACTGTACAAAGATCCAGCAAACTGATCTTTGACCCAGGGTGGCTGCTGTCATTCCAACCATTAATTTTTCTGGACACCCTGGCCCCAAGTGCCACACCAAAACACAATCAAGACCAAGGGAAGACCTTCTGAATTTATCATTTCTAACCCTTCATTCTTCATACCTTCCTCACCCTGCACAAACACCTTCACTGAATTACACTTTAATAATTAAACGCAGCTTCTCCTGAGGACTAAGATAAAGAATGACTTACTAGGAATCCTCCTTCCCTTTCTACAGAACCAAAGTCAGAGAATGTATTAGGAGGCTTTACCGAGACACACTTCCGATTTCATTTGTGTGTGTGTGTGTGTGTGTGTGTGTGTGTGGTGGGTGCTGTCCTACCAAAGAACTAGGATAGTTAAGCAATGATGTTAATATTGCTTTTATTATTAATTAATTAATATGCTGTGTGTGCCATGTGTTTCTCATGTTTTCACTTATGGGACCTTACAGAGCCTGGAGAGACTGCTCTCCCAAGCCTAAACCAATTTCAAGAGATAACAAAAGACTCCTTTCATATGCAAACTAGCTGGGGTTCAGGCCACCATGCCCCTGAGCTAATCATCCAGGGCTTCATTCCAGACACAGTCCATGAACCCCAAAGCCCCCTGACGTGGTTCCAAGTGGCCAATCCCAAACCTGCTTAGCTAGCTTCTCTGGCCTCAAGCATTCCTTGTCCAGAAAACCACAATAAAGGCTCTTCTGGCTCTCCGCTGCCTACCCTCACCCCATGCTTCCCGTGTGGCCCCCTCTTTGGGGGAATTATAAATAATAAGCTTTTCCTTTCAGTGGCAGTAGCCTTTTGATCTGTTGGCTTCACCACACCTGAGTAATAATAAAAGTTACATTTTAAACTCTGTGTGTGTGTGTGAATTTTAAGATTGCTTCACTCTTTCAAATCACATTATCAGATTTTTTTTTTTCTTTTCTGTAAGCAGCAAACCTGCTTCCATCCAGCACCTGGTAAAGTCAAGTAGCTGGGAAGGCCTCAGGAAATCTTGCTGTTTAGTTCATTTCTAAACATTCAACCTGACATTTAGGACTTCCTTTTCATCCAGGTTTATGGTCATTTTTGCTTGCAGTGGAAGAGCAGTTCCCATGCACATCTTCCCTTCCTCATTCTTGCAACGGGGTCAAGAAAATGAAGACCAAAATTCCAGGACTTCTCTCAGGACCTGATACGTTTCCAGGTAGCTTCTTCATTAAAAAGAGTAAAAGCTCCTATTGGTGAGCTTTTTAAACTATTGAGCTCCCAATTTCCTTCCCTGCAAAGCTAACTCTGTGCTGTGAAATAAACCTGCCTTGTTGAGAGGGGTCCAGCCTGGCTGCCCAAACCTATCACCTTTACTTCCCATAACAGGTCCAGACTCACCCCTCCAGTCATATGAAGAGGGTTCCAGAGGGAAAGCATTATTTATTCCAACCCCCAAAGTATACTTTGGGTGTGCTTAACTACAGCATTGAGTCTCAACAAACACACACTGCAGCCACAGAGGAGACTCTTAAGTGTACCAGGCATTCCTCCCCAGCACCACTTGGTACTCACTGTTAGAATGATGTAGCGCAGTTGCTTCTGAGCCAAAATATTCGCCATTTCCTGTGGAAGAAAAAACACACCCACACGAAGACTTTGGTTAGGAAGACCCATTTCCACATGGCCAAGAATGACTATCCTGGGGTGTGCTTCGTGACTGTATATCAGCAGTATTTCTTAGCAAATTATAAACTCCAAAAGGCAGTACTATTCAAATTATTTTTTGGATGTTCCATTGGATTATAAAAGCCAAGCCCAAAAACAAAAGAAGGAAATTATTTTTGTTTTTTCCTGTAGGAATTTCTTCCTTCTAGAAAAAGGTGAGTGTGAAATAAAAATCAGACTCTCCAAAAGAAAGCAATGGTTCTCATTAGAAAGATGCATCGCTTTTTATTAGTCTATCTGTGTGCAGAAAGCTTTGACCAGACAATACATGCCTACTGCAAGGACAACCTAACATGAGAAAATTGTCACTTTAATGATCCAAATCACCTAAAAACCAGTTCATCTTAATCTGTGCAAAACCAGGGAGTGAGGAGCACACACCCCAGGGCTAGAAAGTGAGCTGTGCAAGCAAACCCAGTGGGGTTTTGGTGAAAAACAGACATCTAGGCAATGGAGTTCACTGATCAGCCTCATGTCTGCAGGTGGTGCTCTGGCATTTCCTGACTGGTAAAGAGGATTTGGGGGTTAATTTTATTAAATAAAATGATTCTCAGAATTTCTTTAAGAATACTGACAAGTAGTGGTGTATATTTTCAAAAAGTAAAAATACTGCTCATATTCATGAAGACACTAGAATGTTGTTTTTTGCTAGGAAGTATTTTTAGTGTTATATTTATTGAGTAGAGAAGAAACTAAGATAAAAGAAAAAAATGCAACCATGAATTCAATTGAGACTAAAATAAATTCGCAGAAAGCCAGGAGAACCAACAACACAAGGAGAGGAGCTACAAGAGGACATACAGACAGGGTGGACAGGAACAGTATGGGAGTGCAGAGCCCATCTATTTAGGCTGACAAAGGAAACGTGGGTGACTTACAGTCAGAGGACAATCAAGGATGTCAACATTGCTCTCTACATCAACCTAAGGGTGCCATCGCGACCACAGAAAGGAAAGCAAACAGGAGAGAAGAAGGGATGGAAATTCAGAGCACTCTGTTAGAACCTGGCAGCTTTAATGTACCGCCCATCAACCCACTCCTTAGGGAAGGCAATTCTAAACACTGTCAGGTGATTCTAAAGGACTAGTTGACCTTGAAGTCGAAATCCTATACTAGGTCTCTTCCCTGATCTTGAAGAAAACAAGAAAGCAAGGGCAAGGACATCTTCAGAAACATGCTAGATGGTCACCCAGAATACTAGCCCTTCCCTAACGTGAGGAAGCAGGGCTTTCTTCCCCAGCTGAAGAAAAGATCACTGGCTCCTTTGGCTTGTTTTTATTTTGCTTTGGTTTTCTTGGGCCAGATAACAAAACAAAAGGCCAAAGGGTCCTATTGCTCTTTTAATTTTTTTATATATGCTATAAATTTATTTTGCACAATGAAAATACTGCCTAATAGTCACAAAAAAAGAAACTAAAAGAATATTTTTCTCTGTGCTTATATTTTACCTATCAGTTGATAAGATTTTAAAGTCAGAAGGGATAATATATTTTCAACACCTACTAGAATAAAATTATTAATTATGTGTTTACAATATTGACCTTCTGCTTAAGATGATGGCTCCTCAGAGACACAATGTCTTATCATTCTTTGTAGGCATGGAGCCTAGCTTAGAGCAGACAAAAATGGATGATCAAAGAACAATGAATATTTTACACTACCCTCCTAAGAAACAGAAGCTCAGTCAGAGAGAAAAGAGAAATAACCTTTATCCGCATCATGGATATTTGTCTAATATTAAGGAATTGTGTGAGTAAATGCGAGAACCCACAGAGAATATCTTACAACATTAAAATGATATAAACATATAGCTATAAATATGGATCTAGATATACCAACATGGAAAGATGGCTATACATATTTTTAATTTTAAAAGCAGTCATACATGTAGTATACCTAGCTTTCATGAAAAAAATGAGGCAAGTAGGAGAGTATCTGCATAGAACAAAGCAGGATGCAGTGCCATGACAGTACAGACCCACCAGGGTCTCTGTCTGGGAAAACAAGGAGGGAATCTTTCAAACTTCTTTCTATCGAATCTGTCCTTTCTGATTTTTCTACCAAGTTTTTAAATTAAGTTTTTAATTAATGCTTATGAAAGCCATAAATATTTGTGGAGATATCTAGAAGGCATCTTGCCAACAAATTTTCCCTTTTAAAATAGTAAACCAATGCAAGTAATTGCAAGGAAAAGGACCCATCTTCACAACTAACAGCCACCTTTTCCCCCCATGAAACCAGCTCACATCTTTCCTTCAGGTGTGCAGGGAAAGGGAGAAGCCCACATCCCAGAGACATGGGAAGGTAGGGCCCTCACCTGAGGGAAGGAGGCCAAGCAGAAATAAAGTATAGGTGCCTGTCCTCTTCCAAACTCTCTTTATACATTCGAAAAATAAAGAAAATCCAGATAATGGAGTCCTAACACGTGTGTTTGGCCTGAAGTCAGAAAGAGAAGTTGAAATAGAAGTATTTGATTGAAGTAGAATTGGTCCAGTGTCCTAAGGCTTAAAAGGAGTAACCAAATAAAAAAGGTGTTCTGCAAATCCAGTAGGTAAACAGAAAAGGGTGTCTTTAACTATGATATATTGTAGGAACATTTATAAATGTTTATTCCCAGCACAATGATAACAACAATAATAATTAAAAAATCTAACTGGAGTAAGAAAATGGGCCTGGTGTTCTACAGGCTCCAGGGAGGTGTTTATTTGGCAAGTACAGGAGAATTGTATGGGTGACACTTGCTAGACTGAAATTCAATGGGATTCTTTGCAGGTAAACGCAAGAACAAGGTTTTCTGGTTCTTACAACATCAGTGATCTGGTCAAGTTCTTTTCTCCTTTGGAATCTCAATTTCCTCATTTGTAAAATAGAAATAATACAGCATTCTCTTAATATGGGAAATAAATGAAATAGCAAAATATAAAACATTGAACACAATGCCTGAAATATGGCAATCTCTTCATAATACTGTCATTGATGGCAGAGTTTGGCAAATTATTCTATTTGCAAAGAAATTCAGAACTTTAAATTTTTCAGAACAAATGCTGATAGCAGTATCAGTTTCAAATTTATCCCAGCTAAGATATTTATTCAGTTATAAGATAAAGTCCAGACAAAGTTATATACCCTCAGCCACTAATATAATCTACGTTCAACCCAGGAAGAGCATAATTAGCTCTATCATCTGCTTACAAGTTTCCATTGACCTTGGAAAAGAATAGCAAACTAGTGTTTTTGCATGATGAACTTGCAATCATTTTTAACACTCAACTCATTCAAAAAATTAATTAAACTCCTTTTGCTCTGATAAGTCTTAAATTCAATGGTCTACAAAGTCAACAGCAATTTCTACTACAATTTGCTACTTTGTAGCTATTTTTATTTCAAAAACTAATTAGTAACTGGGCACTGGTGGCTCATGCCTATAATCCTAGCTACTCAGGAGGCAGAGATCAGGAGGATCGCAGTTGGAAGCCAGCCTGGGCAGGTAGTTCTCGAAATGCTATCTCAAAAAAACCTATCACAAAAAAAGGGCTGGTGCAGTGGTTCAAGGTATAGGCCCTGAGTTCAAGTCCCAGTACTACAAAACAAACAAACAAACAAACAACAAAAACCTCAAATTAGTCTTATATTTTGTAAATTTCTGCTGCTTTCTATCTACATACATACATGTATTTATATATATGTATATATATAACCTTAGTTGGATTATTTTCTGAAATGGTTATTAGACTACTCTTTGTAGTTGTTTATCACTATTATAGCAATAGCTAATCTATGTCCTGTCCAACCAGTATTGCATAATTTTTTTAAAAAGTTGATTCACAGAATCCAAACCTAATGTTACATTAGTTTCCATTATATTTCCATTGTTATCAATATCCTGAAGTTGGTACAGATTGACACTTGCTTGCCTATTTGTCAACGACCATGAGACTCTATTTCAATAAATTAACAGTAGTGTTTGGTACAAAGTAAGATGCAAAATATCATGCATCCATCTCACTCATGGCTAGATTCAGAGATCCAAGGCAAACCATACTCCATGGGCAGACATGAACTCACATTTCCTATCATGTAACCTGCTCTTCCACAGGGAAAGGAAACTCCCAAGAGTTCAGATCACACTGCAGTCTTCCTAACCCTACACTTTACTGCTCAGCTGCTATGTGGTTTTCCCGGATGTCCTTTATTTGGCCAGTGGAGGGACCATGATCCTCCAGTGCTCAGTGAAAGCTGCTGGGTAATTTCTTAGGCTACCTGAGAATTAATATTCATGAAATATTTAGATACAAATGTCAAAGGAGCTGTCTTGTCCATGATTCCACCTCAGATGTGGAAAGCCACCTTTGAAAATCCAGTCTGGGTAATAGTTTCCCCAGACTGGAAGAGACCAGGCAACTCTTGCCAGCTCAATCAAAGACCAAATCATATGATAGGGAACTATAAAATGTCACCAGTCACTATGCAAACATAACCAGTAGTAATGAACAAGTGGAAAACCTCACAGTTAGTCACTGAGACTAAAATCGTAGGAAGAAAAAAGTAGAATAAGATTCTTGACATAGCATTCAGTAGCAGGATCGTTTCCTAAATTCAGAAATAATTCCCTGGTGGTTATCATGGCGCTCCCCAGGAGCGTCTCATAGTTCTACCCAGGTGTGGCCAGGGTGACATATTACATGTTATGTTGATTTTTAAAAAAAAAAACGAATGGATTTTGAGGTATGAGTTAAATTCTAAAACAGCAAAATTCTACTTCTTCTATATCCCCCTTTATCATGGTTCATTCCCTAGTTGAAAAAAGACCCAAAGAATCCTTAGACCAAGAAGAGTCAAATGGGTACATTTGAGAGGCTCCCTCCTCTTGCACAGAGAAATGGAAAGGACGACTTGGTCCTCCCAGCCACATCCACACATGACAGAAGACTGCCACCAAGCAAAGAGCCCCTGTGACATATGAACCCAGTGATCTCTACCTACAGCAATCTGTGTGTCCTCTCCCCCATCCATCAACATTTTCCCTGGGCAAAGCATGACACTTGGGTGGAAAATGGGGTCTACACTTTCTTTACCAGAATGAATGCTGCAAGCCCACGGGGGCTCCCAGCTCAGATCCCACCATAGCAGTAAATGTTTCCATCTTGTATTGCTCTGAGCTTCTTCAGCAAATGGCATTCAGGAAAGGGCTCTCTTGTCTCAATACTTCTTGTGTTCTTCCACCAGAAGTTACAGGCTTACCAGCCTTCACCTACACCCCACTCACACCCCACCCTGGTGAAATGGCAGGACACGGCTGCTACAGAGTTGCCCACAGAGCTCCCCAGAGGAGAAGGAGAGGGCATCTTCTGCAGAAAGACACCCCACCCCTGGACACAGCCTTACAACTAAAGAAATGCAATTTACCTGCCTCCGCTCATCTGGGGCCTTTAGGAAAAGTGCATTAATTACAGCGATGGTATAGGTTTGGATTTCTTGATCTGTCCTGTAAAGATACAGAAGAACACAGAAAGTCAGAAAAGGTTAGCCTGAGTCAGACCATGCTGAGGACAAACATCACACACACACACACACACACTATTCCCACAAGTAAGAGGGAAAGGCCAAGCCCAGGAAATGCGTTCAGCACTGAGAATGTACTTCGTCCATTACGGGGCTGGAAACACAGTTGGTGAGCAATTGCTATGACTAGTTGCTGAGTGACAACCACCCAGAAATACATGCAGCCAGTGGCTGGCTCCTACTTCTCTGCTATTGGGATTGAAAGCATGAACCCAGGGGATGTCGATGTTGTTGCTGACATCGTCGTCGTCATCATAGGAGTAGTAGTGTGTAATTTTCTGTCTGAAGCATGCTATGGAGAGAGTAGTTGTGGAACATCCACATTCTCGGGCTTACTTCAAGGAAACAGCTTTGTCTCCATGGCTATATTACATATTCTAAAAATCTATTTCTAAGTAAAAACTTTTTAATAGCAAGAAGAGTATTTATTTGATTGATTTGATTTTCACTGGCAGTAAATGAGAAATTCCAGATGAAGCAAAGAGCTAAGGTAAGATGCAGAATACACGGTAAATATGACGGACCCAGGGCAGAAACAAAGAGTGGCCCAGGAGCTACAGCAAGGGCTAATTTATCACACTGATTAGAGAGGGAGAGCCAATAACACAGTCTTTAACAGGCAGGCTGCTTATGTGGCCTTGGACATGGTTCATGGGTATGTCTAAGATACAGTTTATTTATCTGTCACACGGGGTAAGAACATACTTTTTTCCCAGAGTTAGTGTGAGAAGGATAAATTGAGATACTTCATATAAAATCTTTCGCATGGTGCTTAGAAAATAATAAAATGCCCCTCTTTGGTGAAGTGGATTGTGAATAAACACGTGTGCCCTTGAGATTCAGAAAGAAAGATGCAGACTTGACACATTTCACATTCACTGACAGGTGGAACTGATTTTTTTTTTCTTTTTGGCAGTACTGAGACTTGAACTCAGGGCCTCATACTTCCTAGATAGGCACTCTATCACTTGAGACACTCCACCAGTCCTTGGAACTTATCTTAGTTCCAGAGAGGTTACACATAAAATCACCATTCTGGAGAATGAGCTAATATTCACGAAAGCTACAATCCATGGCTTTTTTTATTTAATTTTAAATTCTGATCATCCTCCTGCATCCATGTGAAGTGAACATCTAATGCACTTTGGTAGTTTGTATTACAAACACAACAGTTAACATTTTCAGTGTATTGAGACTTACTGATATTCCTATGCCCTGACACTCTGCACCAACCCAAACGGACCAATGAGATTTCCTCTTGAGAATTCACAAATCTGACTTCAGAGACAAGGGTTGGAGTCATTGGTAGCAGGTCATGCTGGTGCCAGAGGAAAGAGGCCTGAGGCCTCTGGAGGCCATCGTTTCCTTCCCAAAGCATAGCTACTTAAGTCATTTTGGGTTCTACAAGGTAGCCTCAATATCCTTCCAAAAACACTCCCTTTCCTGTGTAAGGGAGCGCATGTGTTTGTTGTACCTGCAACTCCAAATACATTAATACATCAATCAGCATTACACAATGGAGTCCTTCGCCATCAGAAGCGGTCTTACTAGTTACCTAAGGGTGGAGAGAAGGGAAAAGCTCCAAAGACCATATGCTGTTAGGGCAGCTGTCTAACTTCCACAATATAACTCAAACTTCTAGGAAGAAATGCACACATTATATTACAAAATACAAAAGAAGACAGTCATTATAACCACGTGCGTCTCATCAAGGAAAAACCCTGTTTTTAAAATTTCCTAGTTAAAAATGCCTAGCATAAAATGTCTAATTCTATAAATATACCTGATATCATGGAAAATATTATATAGTTAGGAACAGTCTCTATAGAGAACTTAGGAGAACAAATTATTCCATTATGTTTTATGAAAAGTAAAACTCTATGAATATCCATAGAAATTCATCAAAGTTGAGCATTTCCAAAGGGGCAGGCACTGGGGACAGAACAGTGCCAAGAATAAACATAGAAATCATTGGGAATGGGGAATAGGGGAAGTCACCTTGCCATATCAGTGTGATGAGGGACAAGACTGGTACATAGGTTTGGTTATATTCTTTTTTGCAGCCAGGTATGGTGGTGCATGTCTATATGCAGAGATCAGAGGATTAGGTTCAAGGCCAGCCCAGGCAAAAAGTGAGACCTCCATGTCAACAAACAAGCTGGGCATGGTGGCTCATGTAATCCCAACTACTCAGGAGGCATAGGGAGGAGGATCGAGGTCTGAGGTAGGCCTGAGCAAAAACTGCAAGACCCTATCTGAAAAATTACTAAAAGTTAAAAAAAGGGTGAGGGCATGACTGAAGTGGTAGAGCACTTCCCTGGAAAGTGTTGGGTCCTGAATTTAAACCCCAGTACCCACAAAGTTAAAAAATATATTAATACAGATTCTTTTTGTACATTTAATTGAACCAATACAAAACATTTCCCAGGGTATCGTTGTTTTTGTCTCCCTGAAGCACACACACACACACACACACACACACACACACACACACATATACACCCAGGGTGACTTAGTACTTAGTATGCTTACCCTTGAAGATGAGGAATGAGTTGGCCAATAGTGATCTCTTGTGCCACCTTCTGGTAGAGGTCATGGCTATTGAGCACCATGGACTCCAAAATGGCCAAGGACCGCTGCAGAATTGAGATGTCTATGGCCGACTTGTTCACAAAACTTGCTATCTGAAAATCCAAGTATGACACAAGTGACTGCTCAGTGAAAGCAGAGGTGAGAAGCAGAAACAGGAACAAATAAAGTAAGTCAGGAACTCAGTGAGGAAAACCAGATATACAGGATGCAACAAATAACAACACAAGAAATGCAGTCAACAATGACAATTTGTGACATCATTACAAAATATAATTCATCCTCTTTATTCATTCAATGATAGTCAAACGTCTCCTTAGGAAACATCTTCAAAGAATTATTAACCTGGTTTTCTCTGGATTATTCTTCTGAATTTAAGCTTTAAAGGCTAGACTATTTTAAAACAAACAAGGAAAGAATTCCTGTGTTTCTCTGAGACAGCAATTTCAACAGACACTACTGGCCACTCTCCCCATCCCCAGGCTATTCCTTCATCCACATGACCCAGGACTTTTACATTCTTATTCTGTGCCTGCTGCATTCTCAAGGGACTCACACAAATCACACTTGTTGACACAATTCGATTGGCATATTTCCAGTCTGGCCACTCTTTTGGCTATTCCTAAATAAAAAATTATTTCCCCTGTTCTTCCAATTTCATATGGTTAAAATAAATTCTTCTCTTCTCTCCCAAATGTAGCAAACAGGAAATCATTTGAATTAACAGTGCTAAAAGTTAAAGCAGTATTTTCAGCTCTAAAATGTACTCCCCAAAGAATTAATCACAAATATAATAAATCACTTTGTAAAAGGGAAGTAAAAATGGATATAGTAATAGATTACTGGATCACAGCAATCCGAACACATGGGTATCACAAAGGTTTTATTTTAGAGACCTCATTAAAAGCTATTGTTGTCTATTGACAACTCAATTAAAAAAAGGTCATGATTGTATCAATGTAATGACTGCTTCTTAAAGGCTAAACGACTTGATTCCATGACAAGTAAACACTTGCTGCTTCCCTCTGTCAACACCAATTTCTCCCTTTCCGCTGTCTCATGGACCCCTTCTGTGGCCACCTCCATTGCTGTATATGATGAAATGCACCCACGGCCACTTCCAGTCAACCTCTTAAAGGTGTTCAGTTCATCGCTTCCCTGGTGAAAGTAGGGCTGGATATCAGATCCCCACTCCCGCCTGCCCCAGCTTCATCTGGATCTCAGGAGATGGCAAAAAAATGGAGACGTGCAGTCAGTCACATGAGGACTTTCCACTCCACAAAGCTATTGTTTTATAACACATACTACAGGAAATGAATGAGAATGTGAAGATCCTTAAAGTCTGTTTTAGCTCCACTCTCACTAAGTGTTTACTGTCCCTGGCAAAAGCACCAGTCGTCATCCTCACATCTGCTCCAATTTAACAAATCCACCATGTGAAGTCCACTTTTCTTTCTTTAAGGCCATGCTTGTTTGACAAAAACCCAATTGCCTTCATGCTGTGTTCATGGTTTTAATGTTAAGTGAGGCCCTTGCTAAGCTGAATATAAATTCCTGGACGTCCCCAACCCTCCATCACTCTTCATTGTCCCAATCTTACTTCTTGACACTGGTGTTAGCGATTGGAGGAGCTCATAAGGAAGTTCATTGGCAATACTTCTGTACTATTTTTGATGGTGCTGGGGTTTGAACTTAGGGCCTTACACTTGCTAGGCAGGTGTTCTTACCTCTTGAGCCACTCTACCAGTCCTTTTTTTGTGATGGGCTTTTTTCGAGATAGGGTCTCTTGAACTATCAGCCCAGGCTGGCTTTGAGCCTTCATCTCTGCTTCTTGAGTAGCTAGGATTACAGGCGTGAGTCACTGGCATCCAGCCAAGTGCTTATTCTTGGCAACTAAAAAGCTACCTCCATTTGAATATTCCAACAAAGCTTAAAATTAAATGGCACAAAGAACAGTGTCATTGCCTTCTTACCCTATCCTCCCCCCGCCAGGATTTTCCAAGTATCCATAATCATGAGTAGTTAATATTCCCAGCTCCCTGGCTTCCATCCCCATGAACACACTTCAGACGTCTCCTTTTTGACACATGTTTAGTGTGTACACATAACTCTGGCCAACTCATTCTTGGCTTCCCCAAAAACCACCTTCTTCTGTTTTTTCATGCTTAATTTTCCATTGAATGGAAATTTACTCCTACTTCCAGAACACATTTTTCACAATAATTCCTTTCTCAAAATATTCAGTAAGTACTCTCAATGTTTTCTGATATGAAGTACACCTTTTAATGGGCCTTAAAGTTCTTTACAAATCATTAACTCTTGCCTGCTCCCAGTGGGCTGATTCAATCTGTTAAAATCATTTGTGGTCTTTGCTTTAATTCAGGGATATTTATCTCCCACATACATATTTCATTTTCGTTTGCCATTTTTCTATAATTCTCTCCCATGAAACTAAGCTTTTACTTTCATGAAAGTATTCTTTAGCCAGGCATGGTGGCTCACATCTGTAATCTCAGCAACACGGGAGGCAGAGATTGAAAGGATCACAGTTAGAGACACCATCTCAACCAACAAGTCAGGAGTGGTGGTCCATGCCTATAATCTCAGTTATCTGGAGGTATAGATAGCTGCTATCTTGGTACCAGGCTAGTTCTGGGCAAAAATGTGAGGCCCTATTTAAAAAATAAGGCAAAAAGGGTGGGTGCTGAAGTTGTGGTTCAAGTGATAGCGTACCTGCCTAGCAAGTGTAAGGCCTGACTTCAAACCCCAGTATCAAAAAAAACCAAAAAGTCTTCTTAGACTTGTTTTGTATTAATTCATCTCTCCCTGGACATTTAGTACCAATCATTTCAGCAATCCTAACACATGCTACCTAGCGAGCATTTTGTATAACACAGAGAGCTGAGAGCCAGTCCCGTGAACAGTGAGTGCTTAATTCATTCGAGTACCCTGCACAATTTTGGAGTAGATAGCAGACATTTTTCAAGACCAGCTTTTTTCTCTTGTCTTTCTGTGGTTTTAACCAGGCACTTAAATGGCTCAATGCTTTCACAGAGTACGTACTGCTAACCAAGGCATCAGGGCTGATGTAAGTGAATGCAATGACTACCTTCCTCAAGGGAACTAGACGCAAACTTCCTCTTATTAGTGAATGTACAAACATCCTCTGTGCCTAGTTGAAAAATTATACATCAGAGTCCAGTAACAGAAGGTTACCGGTTGTCTGGATAAATTTTAATGTCCTTTTCCCCTCAGAATCGACAATGATTCCATTTGCCTTTCAACTTCTCCCCACTTGGTCACTGCCTAAAGCAGGCACAGCATGGCCTGTGAAGGTAGGTCTGTATCCCAAGAAGAGGTCAGAGACATTAGCAATGTCTCCTCATGCTGCTCACTCACATAAAATGTTACCCAAATCACACAGAGGAATATATTTAGGTAAAACTTTTAAAAAGCTAAGAGCATCACAGTGCATGAACTAATGGTGCAATAAACACTTCTCAGAATCTCTTAGACTTTTGTATGCCATCAAAACTGAAAAGAACGTGGAAAGCATGCATCCACCTGTGATAATTTAAAGGATCTGGACAGAGACTCATAAATCTCCCCAAATTATAGGAGGCAAAAATTGCTGAGTCTCTAAAGTGAATGGTGGATGTTTGTCTAGCACTGAAAACATCTGTCGGTGAGCCAGGTCCTCGACAGAGCTAAGGTCTCCAGAGCCCACACATGAAAACTTCCTTCCAACAGAAGGCACTGATGTTATGCTTGGCTAGAGGAAAATGAACTAATAACACAGAAAGTCCTATTTCTTTCCTTTCTTTCTCTCCATGTCTTCCTACCCTTTCCCTAAGTAGCCAAGTCTTTAAAAATGACCGCATTCTATCTCAGCATCAAGGAGTTCCAAGTTTCAGATTGTTTATGCAATGATGCTATTTATTACAGACACAATTTATAAACTGGATCCTAGACACACACAGAACAAAGATAAAGTAATAGAAAAGCAGAAAGGGCTTGGTAGGGAAGAAAATATTTCTCCAAAGTGATATGAATTTAGCATTAATAGAAGTCAGCTCAGACCACAGAAAGAGGCATCTTTTGTCAGTGTGTTTCCTAGTTGATTTTTGTTGAGATAAAGCTCCATTTAAAAGTAGTTGCTCACATACAATCCTGGTTGTCAGAGTGCTGAAATTGGTCCAGCTAATGAATAAAAAAGTTACCCTTCCAAAAAAAACTTAAGTAATTTTCTGATGACTATTTTTCAAATTCACAGAAGAGATCTCTAAGTGACGATGCAAAGGGAATGGAATATATGAAATGTTGCCTTTTAAAAAGCAATTTTTAAAATTTAAACTGCCAGGTTGTTGGTCTTGCTTCCTTGGATTTAATATGATTTTTAAAATTTAACAGCAATGAATGAAAACCATTTTCTTAAGTAGTTAGAAAACAAAATTATTAGGGCTGGCTCAAGTGGTAAAGTGTCTGCCTAGCAAGCATGAGGCCAGAAGTTCAAATCCAGTACCCCCAAAAAAATATGAAAACTGAATTATTGTCATTCTCTCTACCCAGCATATTTTAAAGAAACATGGTTTTGTAATTCCTTTCTACTTACCCACCAAAATTTTACTTAAAATATATTCAAATACAGTATCACTTCATACCTTCTCTTTTTCAACTTCTATGTTTTGGTTTTTTTTAAAACACTTCTAGAAAATGTCATTCCCACATTTGGCAGAAATGTATGTGGGCCTCATTTTATGCCAGGCTCTGAGGATAAGGTCATGGTGCCATGTTTCCCAGCCTAGACTCAGGCACTATTGGGACAGTAACATGAACAAAACTTCACACAAGTGGGAGAAGAGTGGCATAGAGACAGTCACGAGATTGGAGGGGAAAAGAGAACAGCTGCGTTGGAGAGAGAGCTGAGCAAACAAAGCCCCTAGGTATCTCTGCAGCTCTGGGAAAACACAGGTGCAGCTGACAGAGAAACAGCCCTGGCTTATGTGACACCACTCACCATGACTTCATCAATCTCCATGAGTCACCTTGTCCTGGCCTCTCAACCATGGGTGACAAGACTTAGCTGCTCTGTTTGGAAGGGATCACTAATGCCAGTGACACCACACCATCAGGTCAAGGAATTTATGTTCAAGACACCGTTTTTGTTACTTTTTACCACAAGAGAGATTTAGTAAGAGATAAATAAACCCATTTGGATGTAGGAGAGAAAAGCCTTCTATAAATTCAGAAAGAGTTAAAATATTTATTAAGGATAAAAATTCACAAAACCCAGGATCTTCAGGTTTGGACTTGCTTCTCTAGAACTTCCCATGGAATGACAGAATAAAGCAATCACTTCCTGTTTTCGTAATCTGCTCACATTCCCTCCCACCATCAAATAAACGTGCTTTCTAACTTGGCGGAATTTCTTTGGCTTTCACATCTACAATAGTTTACTTTCTCTTTAGCAATTCATATCACTGACAAATAGGGCAAAAAAGACCTCCTTTCGTATTTATGCTTCCTTTGGCTCCGTTTTCTTGTCTTCATGGACTTACATAAAAAGAAGATCCAGAGGTAAATCTGCTTATCTTATCTTACCTTATCTTAAATAAATGTGCAACACTATGCAGACAAAGAACCTGTGAAGCCTTCATCCCCAACACCCTCATTCAACAGATTAGGGCTCTCCTCTGCCCTTCAATTCAAAGAAGCATTTCCCTAAAACGCTGACAAAACGCAAATGGAAAAACAGTTAACTTCACTCGACAGATACCATTCCAAGCCAAGTAATCAAGGCAGAATTGCCATAAGGAAGACTCAAGCCATCACCTAACTGTGAGAGGATCCACAGAGGAGGGCACATCATGACTTCTGTAGAATTCTTACCCCAAATGTGTGATCTTTCTTAATTTAATCATGAGGGAAATACAGGACATACACAAATCAGAGGATATTCTATGAAATAATCGATCAGAATTCATCAAAAGTATGAAAGTCATGAGTGATAGGGAAAAACTGAGGAACTGACACAGGTTTGGGAGCACTGAGACATGACAACTAAATTCTATGTGTGGATCCTTAACCACAGAGACATCAGTAGAAAATCTGGTGAAGAGCTGGAGGTATTCTCAGGTGTTAGAGCACCTGCTTACCAAGCACAAAGCCCTACCAAACCCAGCACTTAGAGGAGGGAGGAAGGAAGGAAGAAGGAAGGAAGGAAGAAGGAAGGAAGGAAGGAAACAGCTGGTGAAATCAAATAAAGGTATTGTACCAGTGCTAACTTAGTTTTGATAACCGGAAAACCATGCAAAATGTCAGCATTAGGGGATGTTAGATGAAGAGAATATAGGACCATTCTATATTACTTTGGGCAACTTTTCTTTAAGCCTCCCATTATTTCAAAATAAATGGCTTAAAGTTTACCTGACCCTTATTGGACCTTACTTTGGTTTTCCAGCATTTGTGCAGTTTCACTGAAACTCTTTATTTTAAATAACCTTCCCAGGAATCTACTTTGACAAATTTATGAACCCCTAACATCTCTACATAATAGCAGAGAGAATAAAATGTCAATAAATTATTTTACAAATGCAAAGAAAGTAAAAGTTGTTAAATTAATAAGTAACAGTCAACTGTGATTTAATGCTGCATTCAAAGAGTAAAGACCAGGACCACTTATTCCTTGTCAGAAGAATGGAAACAGAATTGAAAATGTGTGTACGTGTTTTGATTAGCATCAACTACATCAGAACCACCTGCATCTACCCAATTTTCTTCCAAAGGAATAAACAGTCAAACTGGTTAATGCAGGAGACATTTATTGCACCATGATTACAAGTAAGCCTGACCCTCTGCCTAACACGCATGGACCCAGACCCACAGCCTCCTTCTCTTATGTCCTTAATTGAAACCTAGAAATGTAGGACATCGGGAGCATCCTTTGCCTCTTTCTCTATTTCTGAAGGACAGTAGGAACTCGGCTGAGGTCTTGATCTACAGCCATGCACTTGTACAGTTATTAAAAACATGACTCATTGTTTTCTCCTCAACTCTGGGTTCTCACACACAATCCTTTGTTGCATCTCTGTGGGGACAAAATGTCATTTTCACATAGAATTTGTCCAATCCCTACACATAAATACTATTAAAACACAGACACACAGACACACACACACACCTACCTTTTAACATAAAGAACCAAAGGAAATAGAATAAATATCCTCAAAGCAGAGAAAAATATCTGTGAAAGCAGGGAGTAACGTAAGCCCAAGGAAACATATTACCTTCTTAATGAATGCTACTGAAAATGTGTCCCAAGAAACAATGCCATGGTCCATCAGTTCCACAAAGGCCGTCAGGGTGAAGGACAGCATGTCTCCAAAGCTGCAGAACAGAGGGAGGCACAGAGTCAAGGCCCAAACCTAAACACCAGGAAAGATGCAGAATTTTCAAAGACTATTGGGACAAGCAGCTGGATACAGATGACTTCTCACACACAAGAGATGAGGAAGGGCAGATGCTTAAAATAGCCAGGGCTTCAGAGTTAGACAGACCTGGCCCCACACTGACCTCACACTGCAGAGCTGGGTAACACTGGGCCATTCACTTAGCCTCTCTGAATCTCTGTTTTCTCAGCTGGAAAGCTGAGTCGTGAGTAATAGCTATTTAACTAGCAGGCTGCGGGGTAGAGCACTTAATAAAGTGGGTAACATATAAGCATTCAGTAAATGAATAGTTTAAAGAGGAACTTCTCAGCAAACAAAAGCTAGATCAGTTAAGAGAGGGCAATGTGTTTCTTTTATAAGCCATCAGTATCAAGAGGGAAGATTTAAAATAATTCTATTAAGCATATTAGCCCTAAGGAAAGGATTCAAGTGGTCTATTATACTTCTGCGTGTATAACAGATAGTAATATGCAGCAAGAGAACATAATCATTTTGATGTTGTACTGGCCAGCATTCTATCATTAGTTAATAGGTTTTATGGAGTATCTAGGAGATAATGACTCCATATAATGGGTATGCTGACCCTAAGGCTGCCTATGGTTGCAAAGGTAATAGGGAGGATCTGCTATGTGGTGAAGCAATTCAGAAGAGATTAAGATATGCTACGGATTGGATAAGTGTACCACAAAAATCCATATGCTAAAGGCTTGGGAGATGGTCAAGACTTTAAGAGGTGGGGCTAGCTGGCAAAGCAGCTCAAGTGATAACAGCACCTGCCTAATGAGCATGAGGCCCTGAGTTCAAACTCCAGTGCCACCAACAAATAATAATAATAATAATAATAAAAAGATGGGGCCTAGTGGAGGGTCTTTAGGTCAACAGGGGTGTGCCCTTACAGAGAATTGTAGGACCAGTTTCTTCCTCTTTCTTCTTTTTCTAGCCATGCAATCAGGGGTTTAGCTCCACCATGTGTTTTCTTCCATGATATGCTGTCTCAGCTAAAGCAGCAGGGCCAACCAATTATGGACTAAAACCTCTAAAACTGTGAGCCAAAGTAAGCCTTCTCTATTTATAAGTTGATTCTCCCAGATGTTTGTTATAGTGATTGAAAGCTGATTAACACAGAGTAGCTCAAGTAAAATAGTTCCATTATTAGATAATATCCTGGTTCCTTCTGCTTTCAACATAACACTTTGATAGGTACTTACACTTTCAAAATCTTTTACAGATGCTCACCTTAATCATAAATTATCACTATCATAAATATTAACTCCAAACCATCAAAACTAATACTCTGTGCATAGACAGACACTATAGTGTACAATAATACAGATTCCTACACTCAAGTTTTTAAAAATAAAATTGATTGTTCTGATTTTTAAACTATAGGCTCACACATCCCATTATTTCTATATGAAAAGTGTCCTCACAATTTAGATTGAATTTTCCTATCTGTTTGCAATTAACAGAATTGGAAGCAGGTTCACGTTTCTTTTAAAAGAGCTTCTCAATGTCCCTTTCTGCTGTTTTTCTACTCAGCCCAGTCTCAAAAATGACCTATGAAATTCTGCCTCTCCTTAGAAGTTAGTTGTGAAGCTGAAAGGAACTCATGAAAGGGAAAGTGGCTCTCAGGGAAGGACCATGATTCAGAGACTGAAGGGAAGAGACAGATATGATTGTGTGGGTAGTGGCAGAGGTCTCCCTGCCCCTGGCTCTAAGTGAATGAATTACTTCACCATCCTCTGCTTCAGCTCCCCCACTCATTAAAGCAGTGATGAAGATGACAATGGAGGTGGCGGTAACAGGATACCTACCTAGAGATCATTAGAGAGAGTAAGCAAGCTAACACACTTTGAGCCCTTTGAACAGTGTGTGACAGTCAGCAGGTGTGAGTGTTACCTAGTACCACTATATAAAAGCAGTATTTTAAAAGGCAAATGAAGCCCATGATTTTCAAGCATTTCACCTTCATTATGTAAAAAGATTCTCTATTCTTAGAACCAAGCGGGGAAAGTACAAGGAAAGCCAAACCACTCAGGCCAGATGGAGAAAGTAGCTAATACCTCTGGCTTTTCAGGCTACACACAGGCAGTCCCAATCTTACAGGTGCCCCTAGGTGGCATCAGAGGACCATGCCTCAAGAAAAAGCTCCAAACCAGAAAACAAAATTATTGAAAGGAGAGAACACAAAACTAACAAGCTGGATGGAAAATGAGTTAAAAACAGTAACAAGAAAGGTTAAATAAAAATTCCAGTATAATCCTTTCTATAGACACGAAAAAACTCAAGCATCAGATTGAAAAAAAAAAGGAAAATGCAGGTAATAAATGTAATTAGTAAGATTTATTCATGGACTGGTAGGCATTAGTATTACTGTGAAAACATTATTAGAGAATAATGTATTCATAGTTAGCAATATTAGGTAATTTGTTTACTTACTTAAAAAGAAGAACACAGTTGCATGTACTAACTAATAGTTGCCATTTGCTTATACCTGGCATGCTAAAAGAAGATACCCACATACCCACCATGGCCTCCACTCACTGGCAAAACACTGGCCTCAGGGACAATTTCAGGACCAATAATGAACAGACAGTGGCAAAGAAATGGGCCACTATGGGGCTCAAATTCTTCTTTACGTCCCCAGTTAGCTACCTGGGCCTGGGAATACAAATGACCTGAGTCTTGACATTAGTCTTCACTAACTGCTTTAAAAGAAAAAGATAAATTGTATGTATTCCTTCTAATTATCTGAAGGCAAAATGTCTCTGCTCCTTGGCTACCTGCTCAATGAACCCTAATCCAAATGCCCTAAGGGTGGAAAGCAAGGGACAATCAATCTCCCCTAAAATAGCCAAGGACTGTCTATAGACTCTTCAGACAGGCTCAAGGACCTCAGTAAAAAAAAGATAGAGAGGAAGAAAAGTGTCTTTGGTTTCCTAATCTCCAGACTGAGTTGGGACCAGGATTGCAATCTCCACAGAGGTTGAGCAAGTGAAACACCATTTCTGAGAGGGAAGATAGGGTGCTCTGTGCTTTGCAGTTATCCGTTTGTGTGAATGAGTGACAAGTGCATCACATCAACACCAACTAAAGGGCTCACACAAAGTTCTCTTGGTTCACTTACTAACATGATAGCTACCTGGCTAACCAACTAGGTAGAGGAAGGTAGATAGATGGACAGACAGACAGATAGATACAGAATTATATAACCTACTAAATATTAACAAAATATTGTGATAAGGTATGTTCTATAATAAAATCTGTAATACACAGACATATAGTAGAATATTATATAATATACAGTATCTATCATCTATCTATCTATCTATCTATCTATCTATCTATCTACGTCCTATGTCATTTGGTTGCTGGGTGGCACCGTATGCTTCCCTGAGAAAAACTTTTCCAAAATTCAATGTCAAGTCTTCAGTTTCAAGGAAAGGATACCATGATACAATTTATTACACTTCAAATCAAAGAACCTCTTTCAATTGAGGTGCTTATAAAAGCTCCTATTGAATACTAACATGGGTGTTTATTTCCACTTCTAAAGGAGTGATCCAGAGTCCAAAGAGGGAAGGCAGAAGCAAGTTTCTACCTCTGTTCTCAATGCTGAGTACAGAATATGAAGCCTTAAAAGAATTACAAATATCAAGCAATTGTATGGCACATTCTGAAACATTTTTATTTAGTTGGTTTATTTGTTTTTATAAAATGCTAGGCTAAAGATATTACAATACTGACTGCCACCAATTAAGGCGTCTGCAAACTTTACATACTGGTCGACAGCCACCATCACACCAACATGCCATGTGTGCTTGGATGACTCAAATAAATGTTTCTCATTAACTTAGTACAGATCATCTTCATTCCAACAAAATCCAGCCAATCTCAAAAGAAGCATGTAAACTTATGTTGCTAATTTTGAACAAGTACAGTGCATCCAAATGTTTCCATGGGATGTCATACCCAATATAGAACTGGAGAACAGATTAAAATAAAGGTGACTTTTAAAGTTATCAATAAATGGTACTGAATAGATCCTAAGTTGATGGCAATTATTCTTGCTTGCCTGTTGAGTTTTCCATGAATTTTCTGTTGGAGGTATTAAAATTTATATACATTATAAGGTATGGGTTTCTAAATCACCCATTAGATACTCTCCTTCCCCTTCAGAATCATAGCATGACTTACATCAACAAGTGTTAAGTGGACGCTTCTATTTTATTGATCTATTTGTCTCTTCCCTTAATTGTCTTGATAATTCACCTTACAGTAAGTCTTGAAGCCCATCAATGAAATCCTCTAACTTTATTGTTAATAGTTTTGGGTGTTCTAGATCCTAGGTACTTCCATTTAACTTTTTGGTTGACTTAAAATTTCTTTCTTAAATAATTAATTGATTGATATTGCATTGAACCTATAGATTCATTTGGGCTGGAGGCTTCACTCAAGTGATAGAACACCTGCCTACCAAGCACAAAGCCCTAAGTTCAAACCCCAACACCACCACAATAAACAAACCAATTAATTAATTTAAAATTTTTCTTTCTAGGTTCATTTCAGAAGATTGCTACCTTAAATATCTTGTTCCAATCCATGAAATGGTATATCTTTACAGTTAATAAGTATTTAATTTCTCTCAACGTTTCTTTTTCAGTGGATACTGCATATCTCATTGAATTTATTTATGAGAATTTTTATCTTATTGACATTTATTCATGGAAATTTTTAAATTTTATTTTCTAGTTGTTTGCTGTCATCACTGGAAAGTACATGAGCTTTCATAGAGTGATGTTGCATCCTGTGACTTTACTGAATTCAATCATTATACCTAGCAGTTTATTTATAGATTTCTTAAGATTTTCTACATAGTCATGTCTTTTATGAATGGAGATGGATTCACTTCTTCCTTTCTGATATTAAGTCTTTTTTTTTTTTTTTTGGTGGTATTAGGGTCTGTACGCAAGGCTTACATCTTGAGCCACTCCACTAACCCTTGTTTTGTGTATGATGGGCTTTTTTACGATAGGGTCTTATGAACTATCTGCCCGGGCTGGCTTTGAACCATGATTGTTCTGATCTCTGCCTCCTGAGTAGTTAGGAGTACAGGTGTGAACCACCAGCACCTGGCTAGTGTTAAGTTTTTTACCTCTTTCTTGACTTATCATAATAGGTAAGAATTTGAGCACAGTGTTGAACAGAAGTGCAGAAAGCAAAAATATTTGCCTTATTCTTAATCCTAAGAGTAAAAAAACTCAATGGTTCAGTATTAGAATGATGAGTTTTTGTACATTATCTTTATCAGGTTGAGGAAATTCCCTTTAGTCCTAGTTTGCTGAGTACTTTTATGAATGGATGATGGATCTTATGAAAATTTTTTTCTCTATTAAAATGATTTTTGTCAAAAGGGGAGAGCACATACGGGAGATATAGGAATAAGTAGAAAACCAAAAACATGAAAGCGTTTGATGTCCCCACTCCAGAGGAACTAATACAGAAACCTTAAAACGACAGGTTATCACGAGAAGGGGTTCAAGAACCAATGTAAAGATCAGTTAGAGATGAATCAACATGGGTCATAACACATAGGTACATGAAAGCAACAGTAGGAATTTTTCTGTATAGCTATCTTTAACTCAACTAGCAAAAACACTTTGTCTTTCTTATTATGCTTATGTTTTTCTTCAACAAAATCAGTCACAAGGGCAGAACAGAACCTGCCTGAAACTGAGGAGGGGGAAGGGGGGGAAGGGAGTAGGGTGAAGAAATGACCCAAACAATGTATGTACATGTGAACAAATGAACAAAAAAAATAAAAAATAAAAAAATTTAAAAATGATTTTTCTGTTTCTCCTGTATTTTGTTAAATGATCACTCATACTAATTGATTTTCAAACGTTAAGCCATTTCTGTGTTAGACTTTTTATTGCTGTGATACATACCTCAGGAAAGCAACTTGAGGGAGGAAAGATTTTATTTGGCTAATGGTTTCAGAGGTTTGGCAGAACGTAATGGCTATGGGAGCATGTGGCAGAGCTACAGCCAGGGAGCAGAGAGACACAGTACCTGTGCTAGCAGGCTTCTTTTTCCCCTCTCCTTTTATTCATCTGAGCCCCCAGTTTATTGTGTGGTCCACAGTCAGGGCAGATCATCCCACTTAGTTACTCCTCTCTGAAAATACCTTCACAGATACGCTGTACTAATAGCCTAGACGGCTCTAAGTCCACTAAAGTTGAAAATGAATATTAACCTTCACTGTCAAGATTTGTTATCATTTTATGCCCTGCTTGATTCTAATTGTTAATATGCTACTGGGGATTTTTTTTCTCCATTATTGGGACACTGATCTATAATTTTTATTCCCTGTATTGTTTTCTTTGGTATCAGAGTGATATTGGTTGCATAAAATAGTTAGAAATTGTTCCCCTCTTCTTTATTTTTCTGAAAGCATAAATGTAGATGTGGTACTTGTTCTAAAAATATGATAGAATTCACCAATGTAACCCATTTTCACTGGAGAGGTTTTGTTAATGAATTCCATTACTTCAGTAGTTATGGGTATTCTGACATTCTATTTCATCATGAGTCAGTTTTGATGTGTCAGTTTAGTCCTTTGAGAAAAGGCTGGATGGAGCTAGGACAGCAAGAAATTTCTTGGAAGATTAAGTAATGCCTGTGAAAGATTAAAGGGACAGAAAACAAGACTGGGTATGGAAAACTTGCAGACCCTGAAAGGAAAGGGGAAGAGGAAGCAGATATAGATCTAATGGAGTCTCAGTCAACTATTAGGAAATTCCAGAACAAACGCTGCTTACTGGAAGAGCCCTACAATGAGCAGACATGGCTAGATCCTTGTATGCCCACTATGTTCACTGACTGGAGGCTTCCAGGAAAGAGCACAGCTTTGAATTAAAAGCTGCCATGGATTCTGAATGTGCTGTGGCTGGAGATTACAGTCAACTGCACTCAAGGCTGAGTAGCAAGTTCTTTCTTAAGGGAGACAAAGCCATGAGCTTCCATTGATGATAAAATTTAGTAAGTTCTGTTTCCTAAGGCCTTTGTCCATTTCATCTAAAATTTATAATTTAATGGCATGACATAATTTTCAATATTAATTCTTTTAGTGTCAGTAGGAAATGTAGAGTGATGTGCTCTTTTACACTTAGTATTGACATTTGCATTTCTCTTTTCCCCCAAATATTCCCAAATAATTTTTAAATTTAATTTTCTGTATCATTTATTTCTTTTCTGTTTCACTGACTGCTCCTGTTCTGATTCTCCTTTACTCTGTTTACTTAATCCTCATTTTACCTAGCTTTATAGGTAGAAATCTTGATCATTAATTTCTTAAAAATCTTCTTTTCCAAGGTAAGCATTTAAGGCTATAAATTTCTCTCTACCCACTGCTTTAGATGCACCCACGAATTTCAGTATGTCTTGTTTTCATTGCCACTCACTTTACAGTATTTTGTAACTTCAATCAGGTTATTCCTTGATTCTCATTCTCTCTCTCTCTCTCTCTCTCTCTCTCTCTCTCTCTCTCTCTCTGTCTCAACTACTATGGGTGATTCTTTCCTTTTTCTTTACATATATGAAGGGGTGGTTTTTTTTTTTTTTGGTTTTTGGTTTTGGATACTAAGCACTGTGAATCAGACATTAGGAAAGCACAGAATTCAGTTTTGTTTCTCTAAAGATTGTTCATTTTTGTTCTAAAAGGATGTTAAATTCTGCAGTGACTCACAACTCACATCTGTATTCAGTTCTTTCTGATTCCAGACAGTGACATTACCAGGCCCTCTGGATTTCCAAAAAAACATGTGCATTTACATTGCAGTGGTCAGTGATGGATATTGCCAGAATTTATACACAGATGTAGTGTCTCAAAGAATCTGAGCTTCCCTCCTTTCATGAATTCCCCCCCTAAATATCTAGCTGCTCTGTTAGCCCCAAACTAATACCTCCATAATACTAGAGCTTCCTGCTACCCCATGCTACCTGGGATTAGCAGACCTTCTGGGGAAGAAACAGCAAACATACAAATCTCATCCAAGTCTTGACTTCTCTCTATTTTCTGCTTCGTACAGATTTCTATCAAATGCTTTTAAATAGTTTTTTTTAAGTATTTTGTTTACAGTATTTTACCACTCATATCTGTGATGGTCTGGCTACACTACTCTGTCATTAGCAGAACCAGGGCCTTGATCATAGATTTTTGCCCATGATTGATAAATGGAAATCATGGACCACAAACTGTTTATCAATCCTACCTACCAAAAGATTGAAACTAATGACTGGCAAATTCTTAAGAAATTGTTTTGGTTTCAAAGCCCAAAATTTCTCTACATTAGCAAACTGTATGAGGTTGATGGATAAAACTTTTCATTCCAGCTCTCCCATCTGCATTTTAACTTATGCATCAAAGAAGTGAAGGTAATTACACTGATCTTGTGTGGTAGATTAAATGTGGGCTGGAAATAATGAGAGTGAACACTGAGATAATGCACAGGGTAGAATAAACTCTCATAAATGATAGTTTCTACTGCCTTTAGCTAAGTGCTTCTACTAAATTAAAAATATTTGTGAAAATAAAATTTCAGGAGCTTTACCCTGGAAACTCAACATAGCTTTCTGCTTTACAGAATATGATACATAGAAGAGTTCCTAAAACTAATTATCTTTCTGGGTGATAGGAGTAGGGGGAGATGAATAATTTGAGCATGGGCTCATACTGCAATATACAGAAAATGATAAGGATTTTGTTTGAGGGCTTTAAAATAAAGTCCACACTTTGAGATGCTGTTCAGTCTTCCTTCAAAAACTGAAATTATCTGCTTAACATCTTGGTGCCATGGAAATGTGTGCAGCGTACTTTAAAGAGTTTGTTAGACCATCTTTGGATTCACCATAGTAACTGAATAAGGAAGTGACTTAAGGAGAGACTAAGTGACTTAAAGGGGAGAGTAAGAAAGAGGTTCTGAGATCTCCAGATATGGCTACCATGCAATTGACTTTATAAGTAGGTGATGGAGCACATTCTCAGGCCCAGGTAAATAATTTTCATTCCATACAGTAATCCTGAATATATTTAATGAAGATCTTTTTCTTTCTGAGATATTGAAGAAAATCAAAGACTTTTACTTCTGAAATTCACATAAGCTACAAAAAAGAAAGTTTTGTTTAAAGTAATACATAAAATTATGCCCAGCATTGCTCTAGGGGAAGGACAGTAAGCCTGGTGTGACCATTTAGTGGCAACAAACATAAAATACTCATTCTGCCTCAAAGGAAAAGGAAAATAGATTTTTAAAGAACCTGTTTATAAAAACATCAAACAGAAAAGAAAAAAAATGACTTACTCAAATTATGTAGATGAATAGTTATAAAATAAGCCAGAGGACAGAAATTAGTTATGCAGAGAAAAAGGAAATAGTAAATCATAATGTCATTTGATCATGTATTCTTACCAAGGCTTCATAATCTTCTGCAATTTCTGGTATCGTCTGCAAAATTTAAAAACAACCATGAGGAACACATTTGACAGCAATGATTTTTACATAAAGAGCACATCTTGAAACAAACTTTAGGATTAGTTATAGGACAGATTAACTGCTACTAAGTGAAGACACTCTATCCATTTCAAATCATAGTGACAAATCGGTATTCTTTAATGAAAAGAAACAAACAAAAAATCAGTATCAAACTATTCACACTAACCACCACATTTATTTATGAGTAAAGGCAGTAAGAATGCTCTGTTTCGTTCAGAACGGATCCATGTTCAATGGGGGAAACTCCTAAGGATAAGAATGGGTGCATATGCAGTGAGAAGTTGAGCCAAAAAGAACTAGACTGTAGAGAAATAATTTATTAGCTTTCTTTTGTAAAATGGCCCATAATTGTCCTTTCTCTTCTACTGAGAGACAGAGTGCTTCTTCTGAGGGAAGACCCTGCAGTGTCTGAAGGAGTCAAGGGGAGATCGTCTAGGACACCAGACTAGGGATCTGGGATGAGCCTGTGATAGGCACACCTGGCTGGAGCAAAGAACAATGGTACTCTTTAATTTTCTTAATAATTTATTTATTTTGTTTTGAGACAAGGTCCCTCTATGTAGCCCAGGCTGGCTTTGAACTTGTGATCCTCTTACTCAGACTCCCAAGTGTTAGGTTTATAGGTATGCACCACCATGTCCAGCCCTGTGCTTTAAAAAGTAAAACAAATAAACAAAAATACTATGCTCAAAAACATTTAAAAAAAGAAGTGACTCTGATCTGGTTAAACCATTTTCCACTCCTCGAGTCTTTTAAATGTCTCTAGCTGGAAGTCTTCCTTCTGTCTGTATTAAGTACCCAGCCCCTACTATAACTAGTTATGTTCTACTCCCAAACTCACTTCACTAGGCACCTGTGAGGAATCTTCCTGACCTCTGATTTCCCTTCCTCAACCACACTGTGGGATGCTACCAACATCTGCCCCAAGTCAGCATCTTCCCTAAGCTCACTATCCCTCCAGTCTCTCCAAGGCAGGGCTCTGCACTGTGAGTAGCTGGCACATGGTCAAGCACACAGAGAAGGCACTCAGCAAATGGCTGCTGAACGATTTTGCTCTTCAGAAGAAATGAAGGTTTATATGCTAGACCACATAAGATGTAACTCTTTCAGAAGCCCAAATGGCCATGTAAAAACTAAAATCTAGTTGCTGGTAAAACTGGATGTGAAAAAGATAGGTGAGTTTTTCCTCTTCCTCTTCCAAACCTCCCCATTCTTTACATGTCCTTTATTTTACAAACATTTTATTATTTTCCTTCATTTCTTTATCAGAACCCATTAGCAGAATGAAAGAAGCAGGGAAAGACAGACCTAAGCAAAACTGGGGACATTTGCAAGGGCCAAACACAACTTTCCACTACAAGGAACCAGGGCTCCTTGGAAAAATGACTCATGCCAGACTGAGGCAAGGAAAGATCTAGGTAAGATGGAAAGACCTTGCTGAGTCAGAAAGTAAAGAAATGGTCCAGAAATGACAGGAGACAAGTCAAAAGGACATAGAAGATGGCTTGAAGGAACCAAGTCTGGGATACAATGAGCAACCAAATAAATAATAATGGTGATAGCTGACAGTCCTTGGAATAAAATGGGAACAGATGAGTACACATTGGTATAAAAGTGTTATGCCAATAAATTTTAAGAACATAATCTGTGGAGAGGGGGGAGACAGAGAAATCTGATTTGTCCTATTTTCCTATTTCCATGATGTCACTTCTCTCGCCATGGCCAATTAAAAGTACCAACATGACATTAGTGAACAAGGAGCTGGAAGGAGTTGTGCAAAAACGACTACAAGCCAGCTCCAGCAACCCACTGGAATCTATGTGTAAATGAATAAATAAACAGAAAGTTCTTCCTACAGAAGAAACGCTGCTAGTCAATGTAGAAAGAATGGTAGCATTAAAAAAATCTGCTTTTCGAAACCATCATAATTATGAGTAATTCAGACAAGAAACATTAATGTCAAATCTGGTGGGTGAATTTGGGGTGAGGAATTAGATTTTGCATAGCTTCAAATTTTTTTTCATAAATTCGTTACAAAGGCTGGGGAAAATGTAGCAGTAAAGACACCTGGAAGATGATCGTTATCAAGAACATCTTATTGGTTTGACAACCAGTAAGACAAAGAGCCGTTTTGTAACCTAGGCCACGGGCCCAACTCCAGAGCTCCAGCATGTCAGGTCTGGCCACCCATCACTAAAAAAGCAAATGGAAGCAATGGTGAAAAGGCAGGAAAGGATTTTGGTCAACATAGCTTTTGTGGAAAGACAAAAGGTACGCAGGTCTGCCCATCTTTGAGGTAAATTGAAGAATTGGGCAGGGGGTTAGAGATTACAGAATTAGTGACTTTAGTCTGGTTGATCATTATCTCAGTTCTGGTTCTGCAAGGTAGCTCAGAAGAAGTCCTTATCACTGGAAGAGGACAATATTGTTCATCCTTGAGATGACTGCTGCTGTTTAGTGGTGATCTCGTCATGGGGTGATCTGTCCGTGAAGCTCTGTTGTTCCTGGAATCTAAGGTGACTTTGTTTAGGACAATGACTGGAAACTTTCAGGTGCCCTTTTTGGAGTCTAGTACAGGACACTGTAGTTACTCCTAGCTTTGTACCTTCAGCCTCAAAGAGGGAAGAGATAGGTTAGGTATCACCAGTTTTTAAACAGATACTCCTTGAGTAATTAACATGACTACATGCACAATTAAGCAGGAGTCTGACCCAAAGTAAAGGAGACAGCTACAAAGTGAAGGCAGAGATGCCAGGTTTTTATCCTACTTTTAGTTACCTTGTGAGGCCAAGTAAGGAGCAAAAGCAGTTTCTAAGCAGATGTTATAATCATGTGCCAACAACAGGCAACGGCAGGGGAATTTTGTTATCACTGTCATCACCTGAGGGGAGCAATCTGGTTCCAAGACATGATTGCTCCTGCTCCTGGGTGCAGCCTCATCATTACAGGCAATTGTCCTCATCTGGACAGGTGGTCTGTCCTGCAAAGCTCGACTCTTCCTTAGGGGTAGTTTCAGTCCCTTGTCATAAAGATGTTATCAATCATTCCTGTCCTTCCTTGATTCCAAGGTGGCTGCAGGAGAGAATGGCTCAAAGAAGAGGACAGCAGGTACAAAATGGAGACAGAGATGCCAAGCTTTCTTCCTGTTTTTAGTTAATTCTTGGGCCTCAGTAAGAAGTTAGTGCTTTTTAGTAAAAGTAATTTAAGCACCTCTTATAGAAGGAGACAGTACAACTGGGTGAGTTAGATCCTTTATATGTCAAAAGATGCAACTAGGACAACCAGAAAAACTTGAGTGTGATATCTGGGTGAAATACAAATGGGAGTTCTCTGTTCAAGTTTTTTTTTTTACTTTTTTGGTGGTGCTGGGGCTTGACCTCTGCCCCTGCTCTTGCTAGGCGTCAGGTACTCTACCATGTGAGCCACTTGGCAAGGCCTTTTTATGTGGTGGGTATTTTTGAGATAGGTTCTCATGAACTATTTGCCTGGGGCTGGATCCTCCTGATCCCTGCCTCTTGAGTAGCTGGGATTACAAGCATGAGCCACCAGCGCCAGATTCTCTGTTCTATTCTTGCAACTATTCTTTAAGTTCGAAATATATAAAGTGTGTGTGTATGTGTGTATGTGTTTGTGTGTGTGCATACACACACCCAGGTGCACACCTAATATATTAAGCAACCACGGCAAAGTTTCAAAACAACTTTCTGGCCTGGGGCTGGAGCATCCTTAGGCTTTCATGTGTTCCACATTCTGGGTGGCCCTGCCCTGCAGAGTCCTCCCCAACCAGAGTGCAAGATAAACCTGGGCTGAGTCACCATTTCTCACACAACTCAACTTCTGCATCCTCACTTTGGCTTCAGAATACGTCAGAGGAAAAGGGAAACTTTAGTTACAGTGTTTGTTCTCCTAACAGGGATACTCACTCTCTCCCAGTATACCCACTTTGGTTTTTGAAGAAATATGAGCAGAACAGAAATGGCTCAGGGAAATGCTAATGTTTGATAGAGGCCAAAACGCTCTCCCCCCAGCCTAAGAAATGAATGACATGCTTTGCACCAGAAGAAGATAATCTCTTCTTTAATCTGGCTGAATGACTTTTCTAATTTCCATTACTAGTGAGATGGACAAAGACACAGAGAGAAAGCAAAGGGGAGGCTGGAGGGGGTCAGATCTTTTTAAAGGAATTTTCTACAGCAGAAACTGACAAAGTCCAAGAAGGTTGGCCTCTTGAGTCTTTGTGATGCAAATTCATGGCAGGGCCCCAGAAGGGCTGTTCTAGTCTGGACTCTCCATAGTATGCAGAGAGCAGGCTAGGAAACAAGGCCAATGGAGCCCAATCCTTCATAGCCAGGGCCCACCACTCCCAGCACAGCAGCAGTTTCGTTCTTGGTTGGTCAGGGAGCTGTTTGCTACTGCAGGGGGCCTCTCAGAAGGTGAAATGCAAAATGTGCCTGGTGAGCTTTGCAGCTAGGCAGTGAGTAGACTGATCCACTTGACCTGGCCTGGACCTCCCAGAACAGCCAGGGCTTATAAAACATGCCATCTTAGCAGCAGTAATTTGACCTGAGGCTGTGACAGTTATAGTGACTGAGGAAGCTAAGTTACTTTCAAAGACAAAATTCTTCTTTTGTGTGAACACTGAATTTCAGAACAGGTCACACCTAGATAAAACAGAAATACATCTTTGATTTTTTTTTTTTCCCTTCACACCTCCCTCCACCCCTCACATCCCTGCACACTGTCAGGAATACTGTTCAGCCCTCAAAAAACACACACTGGCTAAATGAATAGTTTACAAATCCCTTCTCAAGTGTGGGTGCTAAGCAACTTCAAAGCCACAGCATCATCCAGTGTGGGTAATTCAATCAGACCTCGGTTCTCATGACACCTAAAATGTGAAAACAGCTTTGGTTCAGGTAAGGAAAAACCAATTTGAGTAAGAAAAGTTTAATCTGAGACTGTTGTGTTGAAATATGCACACAGCATCAGGCAGACTTCGTGGGCATCACATGTATGACGAAGTGGAGAGAGAGAGGGACCCACTATTTACACAACTAATGTTTATTTTGAAGTCAAAAACATAAAGATTTTCCATATCACTTAAATAATTGTGGAACTCCTTCCACTGTTCCTAACACAACTAAATTTTGGAGAAATGACCTCAACCAAATGAATAAATCAGCACTTATAAATCTACTAGATCACTGCTATTTTTCCAAAGAAAGCTAGAAAACCTGTGGGAATATGAGCCCAGTATTGACCATGGCATTGGGAGTGGACACACTCCTCCAAGAATGACAAAGTGTAAATGGAAACACTGCAACGAGCTATTGGGTTGTTCTTCTTTTAAAGTAGCTTTAAAATGTGTATCTCCTTGAATCACAAATTTTATTACAACAAAGTAATTCAAATAGTCTCAAAGCTTTTATTAAACTGAAAGTGGATTAGAAAATATTCAGAAAAAAACTGAAAACATTGCAAAAGCCCTACAATCCATGAGTGGTTGTAGTGTGCACATCTTTCAAATTATTCTATTACATTATGCAGGCAACAAAAATAAAGGGAGAAATAATATTTAGTGACATGAAATGATTCTTAGGTACAAAAAGAACATGAATATTATGATTCTAGTTTTAGGAATAAAGTACATATGTATATTCATACAAAAAGGAACTATACCAAGATTCTAAAAGTGGTTGTTTGTAGAGGGGTAGATTTAAAAGGATTCTTTTTTTTCCATCTGCTCATTTACATGTTTTAATGATTAATGTACTTTTCCTTTAAGGAGTTGCCCAAAGTTCTCTGGAAATGTAGGGATTTCACTTTTGTCAGTCTTGACTTGGCTGCCCAGGGTGGAGCTGGGGCTTACTCATTTCCCAGTCCCGTTATTTTCTCATTGCCAAGTAGGAAGGAAACTGTAAGCGTCCTGCCCTTTGTTCTTGGAAATGCCCCTGCTCTCTGCCCTCAGTGATGACTGACCATTCAACACGGAAAGGTACAGAGTAAACTGCCCAATTGTTGGTGTGCACAGAGGCGCAGACAAAGGACATGGGCAGTGATAAAATCACAGAAGAGCAGAGTTATTCACTACATTGCCCTCAGAAAGGCAGGTATAGTTTTTTTCATTCAAATTGAATCAAATCTATCATTTGTAAAAAATCTGTCATAATCATCTTTTTCTTGTAAACTCTGTCCATTCTTTGCCACCCCTTGCCTTGCATAGGTTGGGGGGGGTGGTGACACAATGCCCGCAACACTATTTGCTTCAATCAAAAACTAGGAATGGAATTTCCAAATTTCACAAGGATGGAAACATTAAATTTAGGTTTTAAACACTGTGCTCTGCCAAAGTGACACTTTCTTGTCTCTCTTTTGTTGCTGATTTTGCCCTACAGCCTCTCCTGGTACCCACTGGAGAGAGACCTTGAAGGGCACAGATTTGAGTAACAACAAGCAGACAAGAAACCTCAGAAGGAGAAAATTTCCAGCTCTGTTTCTTCAGTGTTTCCTAAAACTTTCCACAGGTCCAGCTCAGGAAATCTCCACCTTCCCCAGCTGGAAGTCTGCCCAGAAGTCATGACTAAATGCCTTCCCAATCGCAAGAGCTATTTAATTTGTGCAGTTCTATTCCAAAGGTTTCCTGATAATTAATTAAAGTCTTATTATAAGTTTAATTGAGAAGCCAAGTTGCCTTATAAGAAAAATGTCTTTCTCTTTTCTTTTTAACCTGAGCAAAAGATTTGAAAAATAGCTGTGGATCAAATGAGCCACCCCTGAGGATGAGACACAGGACCAGCAAAAGAAAGGAAAGAAACCTTGGGGCTCCATCCTGCCTTCTTCCATCTCCAAAAGCAGTGTGACTTTGAACTTATGCAAAACAGTGAGAGGCACCAAAGGGGAATCTAGACAGATGTCATTCCTACCCAAAATGTAGAGTGATGGGAAAACATAAGAGAAAAGGCAGAACAGAAGTCATCCAAGATCTGGTCTTGTGTTTTGTTTACTGTCTGAAACAGGCTGTATGTATCAAGTTGTAATGGCTTACTGATTATTTTAAATAATTAAAATGTTAATGAGCATGATCCTCTTTTGAAAATAAAAGATATCCAATTGCTGTGGTTCACATTCAGTAGTAACATTCTCTCACATTGTATACAAACATGTGCTCCATGAACATGACTCAGACCTGCTGTCCACTACCTAGGACTGAGGGACAGTGATTCTTTTGGGCAGCTATCGGTTGAGATGAGGTATAGAGCAAGAAAATAGGATGGATGAAAAGTAAGTGATAAGACAAACATATGCTATCAGTTAGTACTCTTTTTTTTCTTTTAAAATAAAAGTTGGCAGTGTCTCTTATTAGAGTGTTGTGTGGGGGCTGAATTGTGTCCCTTTCCCCAAATTCCTATGTTGGAGTTCTAACCTCCAGTATTCAGGATGCAACTGCATTTGAAGACAGAGTCTTGAAAGAGATGATTAAGTTAAAATGAGGCCATTAGGGTAGGCTCTAATCCAATCTGACTAGAGTCCACCAAAGAGGAGCAAATTTGAATATACAGAGTCACCAAGATGTGCATACACACACACACAGGAAAGACTCTGTGACGACACAGGGAGATGGTAGCCATCTGCAAACCAAGGAGACAGCCCTCAAGAGAAGCACAGCCTGCAGACACCTTGAACTTGAACTTCGAGCCTTCAGAACAGTGAGAAAATGCAATGTCTGTGATACTGTGTTATGGCTTAGAGTAAAGTAATGAAGAACTTAAAAAAAGAAATCTCTTAGCACACCATCTTCAATGTCAAAAACACACCTGCCAGCCTCTGATGGCTCTAGTGCTTTGCCACAGCCCTGTGTCACAGTGCATATCACATGGATCCCTGCTTTCCATGTCTTTACTATGATCATTGTAATTACTACTGCCATCTGGTAAATTCAAAGGTATTTCCACCATAGCCAGGTACAATGCCTAACGCCTATGATTCTAACTACTTGGCTGGCCACCACACCCACCCTGTTGGTTGAGACAAGGGTCTCACTAACTTTTTGCCAGGGCCAGCTTCAAACAACAATCCTCCTCCCTTCTGACTTCTAAGTAGTTGAAATTTCAGGCATAAACCCCCTTGCCCAGCCCATAAAAAATTTTTATATGGGAAATACTCTTGCTATTGTAAAGCATATTGTCCTTGAAGAGAAGGATGAGAAAGAAATACTTTTTCATTAGCGCCAACCACAGAGGTTAAATAAGACCAAGTGTACGGGGAGGGAAGGAGAAGCTATGAGTGAGGAAAGTGGGAGTAGAGAGGGAAGGGACACAAATAGATTTTCAACACGTACAGTCAGTGTTCATTCTTCATGTCACTAGGTTCTAAAGAGAGATTTAAACTAGCCAGGTTTAAACCCCAATTCTCAATGGTGCATACGCTCTCCTAATAAATAGCTATCTGGGTTCTATACATTATTAATTCAGAGCTCACATTTTTTTCACTTCCCTCCCTTTTGCATACAGTAGATACTACTCAAATGTTTATTATATTGAATTTTAAATAATGATATACGTTGTAATCTTTAGAGCATTTTTTTTATTATGTCAAGAGTGGTATCTTGACCAGGTTTCATACTTTGAAACATAGGTAGACATTCTAATCTTTTAATGGAGTCAGAGATGGGAAGTTTCCTTGGGGACAAGCAAAGGATATGAGAGATTAATATTCTGTACTTATAATTATAGTGTTAACAAGACCTGTAGAGAAATGACATAATACTTTTTTTCTCAAAAACCTGAAATTCCGCTATTTACTGATTTCTACTGTGTCTCAGCTACTGACTAGCTGATGGAGAGCTACTGAAATTCCAAACCCCCTACCTAGCTACTTTCTTAAATCTATTTTTCTCTGAGTCTAGCCACGTTTCTGGTCACTAAAGCTAAAGTTGCATAAGGAGTGTAACAAATACCACACTGACGAGCAGGAAGGACAGAGGTGGCAGTCAGGATGGAAGATGCTTACTCGGTGCCGCTTTCCACCATCTGGGTGAGGAGAGAGATGCCGTCCAGGTTGATAAACTCCTGGGCAAACGTGACGTCCCGGGAGAGGCTGGCCAAGTCCTTCAGGGCTTCCAGCTTGGCGTCCATACTTGATGACTGGATTCGTTCATGGAGCTGCTGGGCATTTTGGGCCTCACAGAGACAAGAACAGAGGGAAGAGTGTTCAGAAGGGAAACCACAATGGCACAAAAATGACGGTGTTCCTGGGAAAGAAAGATCCCTAGGCCAAAAGCTCAGACTACAGGCATCCGAAACAGTGGGCATCTGGAAGGCAGGTTTTCACTGCGTCCACTCCGCCCACTATGCTCCATGTCCTCCTTCACAGTGGAACCTGCCGTGTTCTTCCACAGGGCCTCTTTCCACGTCAAGGAAAAGCAAGGGCAGGAGCACAAGAACACGAAAGCTCCAGAAACAGAATGGGTGTGGCAGAGGGGACAGGGGGCAGCAGAGAGAATGATCACTTTTGAAGCACAATTACTATCAAGAGGCAACAAAAAGCTACTTGCTTAATTAAGCGATTACACAAGTGTATCCATTACACTCATCAGTCAGTCACTACTCTGCCTACACACCAGGATCAACAGCTTCACTTGACACCCAAACCGTCTTTTGGGTTACTAAAAATCTTCCAGCACAACACGGGGCTTATGAATTCCAATTTCAACAACATGTGTTTCACATGCACTGGCAACTTACTGTGTGAATTTAAAATAATTAGTAAGCTAAATTAACAGCCCTGCCTAGTCCTTCTTTTGATGGAATTTGTACTTGGCTTCTACACACAGGACAGACAGGACTGGAAACAGGTTGGCAGAGCTGACCTTCTGGATAATAATTCATAGTTTGTGCGTCTCATTCATCTGTCACGGTTTCTACACCTACCTTTCAGTTGGGGCAGGCTAAGAAATACAAAAAAATAGTAGTAGCAGTAGCGGTAGTATTACCTGATAGAAATAACTGAACATCTGCTGTAATTATTTAACTCAAAAGTATAGTGGTTGACATCTTCTGCCACTCTCCTTTGAAATTCTGTTAGATTTTAGAGAAGTGGAAAGACAGAGCAGGCTATGGTTTGGAAGTGGTTTGTCTGCAAAGGGTTCGTGTGCTGGAAATTTGGCTCCCAATACAATATGGATAAATTAAGAGGTAGGGTTTAGAGAAAAGTCTTTACTGGCCCCGCTCTAGTCATGCTCTAGCTTCCTGTCTTACCACGTCTTCCCTCACTCTCCCAGGCTTTCCACACACCCTTCCCCCAAAGGCTTCCACTATAAGATTCTGAGTGCCCTGCTCTTAAACCTTCAGAATATGAGCTAAATAAACCTCTAATCTTTATAAGTCACCTTGCCTTGGGTATTTTATTATAGTAACAGAAAACAGACAAATACAGGGTATTTGACACTAACAATGAAGTATATCTTCTAAAAAGAAATGTTACAGAGCCTTGGCATGGTAGCATGGGCTTATAATCCCATCACTAGGGAGGCTGGGGCAGGAGGATGGAGTCTGAGGCCAGCCTGGGCTACACAGTGAAAGGAGTGGGGGAGGAAAGGAGGAAAAGAGGGAGAAAATAATGGAGGGAAGAAGAGAGGGAGGGAAGAAAAGAGAGGAGGGAAGGAAGGAAAGAAGGAAGGGACGGAGGGAGGGAGGGAGGGAGGGAGAGCAGGAGGGAGGGAGGGAGGGAAGAAGGGAGGAAGGGTGAGGAAAACACTGTGAAATTTGACAGGGTTGGATCTGAGTGGAGCGGGGAACCCCATGGGAGTAGAACTCGACCCCAGCACAGCCACAGCACCTCTCTCCTTACCCAGCTTCCCCTCCCTGGCACCTAGAAGAAGCTCCCATGGACAGGAAGGGATTCAGTGGGGAAACTGAGGCAGTTCTTTAGGAATAAGTCAAGGGTGAAACAAGGCCCCACCACACGGTCAGAGATGTGTTGGCGTCTCCCATCCATTACAACCAAAGCCAGGCAGTTTGCATCAGAAGTTAGGAAAGAAGAAGGAGGAAGGAAAAGGGGAACCCTCCATACTGATTTGCTTCGCTGATTCCCAAATAATTGACAACTCACTCAAATCCTAAAAGCCTGTTCCTAAGAAAGAATAGAGAGCTGAGTAAGAACCACTTTATTTACCTTTTAAAAATATTTAAAGATATACCATTCTCCAGAACTTTCAAGTGAACATACAGCACTCTAACAGACATTTCTAACATGCGTATTTCAATAGATATAACCTTAACTTATAATAAATAATTAACCAAAGTGTGTCATTTTTCCTTGAAAAATATATCTTACTTTTCTACACAAAGGAAATTTGCATTTACTATACAGATTAGGAAAATAAATACTCAAAAATTATTTTATTGGCATTATTAATGATAACTAACCATGCCTGGTGATGTTAACACTAAAAATAGCTAACACTCACCTAGCAGTTCTTATGAGCCATTATTCTAAATACCTTCATGAAGTAATTCAGTTAACCTGCACAGCCATCTCATTATCTTCATTTGACAAAGGAAACTGAAGCACAGAGAAGTTACAAAACTTGCCCAGGATCACACAGCTCACCAGTGCTGAAGCTGAGATACAACCAATGCAGGTAGACCCTGGAGAACACGCTCTGAATGGTGGACCTCAATTATTATACACACAGAACTACCCTGCGTGGCTTCTTAAAACACAAGACCCCTAGGCCACCTCCAGAGTTTTGTGTTTCTAAAGGCTGGGTGGGGTCTCCAAAATTATATGTTGAGCCAGGCTGCAGATGCTGCTAAAGCTACTGACCCCTAATCACACATGGAGTCCTGATGCTCTGGATCACTGGGAAAACTGTCTGGCACACTAGCTCTACTGGGTCTCTCAATTATCGCCTCGCCCTCCTTAGATGGGGCACAATGGGCCCCTCGGGGTGAACTGTGTCAAATAGAAAAGCTGCTCACTCTTCTCAAAGTTGTGCCGCTCTCACCTCTCACCACTGGCCTTGCTCCTTCCCTGGAACCATCATCTAAGGACACCTCTACCTAAACAGGGGACTTTCCCACCATGCTTGCTTCTGGCAAGTTTTGGTCTTCATTTCAGGACAATTGTGAAGCACTGGGAGTGTGGGGAGTGCACAGCACTGCCTCACAGGGGTGAGCCAGGTGTGCCAGGTGTGGGTGAGGAAGAGGTCCCTGAGCCACCTTACATCTCCCTCACTGGCTGCTTCAGGATCGCAAGGAACATCTCTTCACCACTCTTGGCCTCATTTTCCGCTTCAGTTGGTGCATGAGGAACTGTGACCCTCAGAGTGACAGATTGTTTCTTGGCCCTGAGCAGGAACCATCATTAGAAGTCCGCCAGGAAAAGGGTCTCCACAGACTTGAGACCTGGCCTGGATGTGACCTCCAATCAAAATATATGTCAAACTGGTGGGGCTTTGTTAATGCAATGTTGTTCCAGTTGGAACTCGAATAGAGACATCTGCTCCTTTCCTCTTGTCTCTAAACAATCTGCATATAAAATTTTCATTATACAAAATACATGGTAATGAATCTTACTATTACAGTGTCAGGGGGCTAGAGCTGTGACTCACATGGTAAAGCACCTGCCTAGCAAACATGAGGCTCTGAGATCAAATCCCAGAACTGCCAAACAAAAATTTGGATTTTATAGGGAAAATTTATATTTTTGACATGAATTATTGCAGAAGGTCACTTGCATATAACTTTATTTAAGCCTCTACCCAGACAAATCTTTATAGCTATCCACTTGGAAGAAATTTTAACCCTCAGAATCCCCACTCTCTGATTCAACAAATACTTCTGGAGAGCCTACTCTGAGCCAGGCACCATTGTGATATTTGAGATACAGCAACAAGCAACATGGCAGCAGTTCTCACTTTCTGGGGACTTAATCACCTTGGGGAGGGGGAGGGAACTTTTTTTTTCTCATTTTTCTTTTATTATTCATATGTGCATACAAGGCTTGGTTCATTTCTCCCCCCTGCCCCCACCCCCTCCCTTACCACCCACTCCGCCCCCTCCCTCTCCCCCCGCCTCAATACCCAGCAGAAACTATTTTGCCCTTATTTCTAATTTTGTTGTAGAGAGAGTATAAGCAATAATAGGAAGGAACAAGGGTTTTTGCTCGTTGAGATAAGGATAGCTATACAGGGAGTTGACTCACATTGATTTCCTGTGCGTGGGTGTTACCTTCTAGGTTAATTCTTTTTGATCTAACCTTTTCTCTAGTACCTGTTTTTGGAGGGAACTTTAAAAAAATTAGAAATAAGAAATTAAATACAATATTAGTAAGTTATACAGCAAACTCTAAAACAAGGTGATATGACAGAGAGTGACTGGTGATATCTTTACTTGGGGTGGATTTCAGGGATGAGCTGTCTAAATCAAGTCCTTCATGAAGAGAACCCACAGACAAAGTGCCAGGCACACTGAGGAGGGAATTCGCTGGGCAGTAGGGGTGTTAGTGCAAAACTCCTTCAGGTTAAACAGCATGGCCTGTCTGGAAGGACAGAGGAGGAGCAGTGTCTGTGAAGTGGTGGTAAGGGGGATGGGAGAAGGTGAGCATACTGGAGGACAGGGCAGGAGGCCCAGTGTGTGCAGGAGAGCTGGAAAAATTTGGGGTGCTGCTTGCTTCCCTGCAAGGATGCACCTGAACACCTGAGGCAGATGCCTGGTGCCTACACTGGGGACATTCAAAATGGCATTTACATTCAACTAACAGAAACCCCTGTCCACAATAGGCCAATGATGAAATAACTCCTGATACAGAATGAAATATTACCTGGAATTAAAAATCACCATTGGAGAGAATGTGAAATAGCTTGGGCACATTCCAAAGATAGAATACCGAGAGAGACAGCCAGGATGCAGACACATTTGACTGTCGCGAAGGTGGAAGTATAGGTGTACAAAGTGTTTTTGTCTCCTAGCACATAAACCCCAGAGGTAGAAGAAACGTGTTAGAACTGCACACCACTACAGTCCCAGCATCTTTACTGGCACTTCTAGGAGCTCCAAAAAATCTTCATTAAGTGAATGAATAAACAAACAAATGTATATTCATACATGAATATATATGTGTGTGTGTGTATATATATATATATATCCATAAGATTCATACATTTACATGACTGAAG